ATCTGGCGGAGGTGATGTCTTCTTTATGAGAACTCCTGAAGATTTAACTGGCAAAGATGGTGAATTAGTACTTATCGAATTTTCTGAAGAACATCCTCCTTTAATGAATCAGGTAGGAATGTGTTCTAAAGTGAAAAATTACTACAAAAGAAAAGCGGGAAAAGATCAAGGACCACAGAAATACAAATATGGTGAAACTGCTTATGCTCATACTAGTCCATTCCTTGGAATTCTTACACCTGGTCAAAGCATACAAGCAGTTGAAAATAATATGTATAGAGCCCCAATTTACGAGCACAAAATTCCAGAGACAGATTTTTTAGTTATCAGAACAAGGTATTGTAATACAATGTATTGTATTTTTTTTATTGCAATGTGAAAAATGCAATTATTAATGAATTTTTATATATAATATATAGACAACAATATTATATCAGAGAAGTGGATGCTTTATTTGTTGCTGGCCAAGAATGTCCATTATATGAAGTTCCAGGTCCTAATTCAAAGAGAGCTAATAATTTTGTGAGAGATTTTTTACAAGTATTTATATATAGATTATTTTGGAAATCTCGAGATACTCCTCGACGTATTAAAATGGATGATATTAAAAGAGCATTTCCTTCACATAGTGAAAGTAGCATTAGAAAACGTTTGAAATTATGTGCTGATTTTAAAAGAACAGGTATTTATAATTTTATATTATATTATATATTATATTAAATTACAATTTTTTTAAATCATTCTTATATTTTATATAAATATCAAAATTTATTCTATTATTAGGCATGGATTCAAATTGGTGGGTTATAAAACCTGACTTTAGATTACCAACAGAAGAAGAAATTCGAGCAATGGTCTCTCCAGAACAATGTTGTGCTTATTTTAGTATGATTGCTGCTGAACAAAGATTAAAAGATGCTGGATATGGTGAAAAGTTCCTATTTACTCCTCAAGATGATGATGATGAAGAAATGCAATTAAAAATGGATGATGAAGTGAAAGTTGCACCTTGGAATACAACACGAGCATATATTCAAGCTATGAAAGGTAAATGTTTGTTACAATTGGCAGGACCAGCTGATCCTACAGGTTGTGGTGAAGGATTTTCTTATGTTCGAGTGCCAAATAAACCTACAATTAGCAAAGTAAGTATATGTTTTATTGTTATAATTTCTTTTGTACATTTTAAGATATTTTTTTTGAAATATGAATTAGGAAGAACAAGAAGCTCAACCAAAGAGAACAGTAACTGGAACTGATGCTGATTTAAGAAGATTATCATTAAACAATGCAAAAGCATTACTTCGAAAATTCGGTGTTCCTGAAGAAGAAATTAAAAAATTATCGCGATGGGAAGTAATTGATGTTGTTAGAACATTATCTACAGAAAAGGCTAAAGCTGGTGAAGAAGGTATGACTAAGTTTTCTCGAGGAAATCGGTTTTCTATTGCTGAGCATCAAGAAAGATACAAAGAAGAATGTCAAAGAATCTTCGATTTACAAAATCGTGTTTTATCTTCTAATGAAGTTTTAAGTACAGATGAAGGCGAAAGTTCTGAAGAAGATAGTTCTGACATAGAAGAGATGGGTAAAAATATAGAAAATATGCTTTCCAATAAGAAAACTAGTACGCAATTATCTCTTGAACGAGAGGAACAACAACGACATGAATTACGAAAAATGTTGATGGGGGAAGTTCAAGAACAAGATAAAAAAACCAAAGAAAAAAAGAAAGATGATGAAGAGGATAGTCCTGTAAATAACTTTAATTCACAACAGGGTAGGGTTCTTAAAATTTATCGAACGTTTAGAAATCCAGAAGGCAAAGAATATACAAGGGTAGAATTAGTAAGAAAATCAGCAGTAATAGATACTTATATAAAAATTAGAAATTCTAAAGATGAAACATTTATTAAACAATTTGCAACATTGGATGAAGCACAAAAAGAGGAAATGAAGAGGGAGAAAAGAAGAATTCAGGAGCAATTACGTAGAATTAAACGGAATCAAGAACGAGAACGTATGCTTGGTGGTCCAATGACAGGAAATAATGCATCATCGAATAATATATTCGATCGTAGTAGTAACAATACCCCAACAACTACATCCTCGAATAGTATCCTTCCATTCTGTAATTCTTTCCAATCTACTTCTCCTGCTTCTAAACATCCTAAACCTGATATATCTCCTTCTAAACGTAAGAAACCTAAACTTAAACCAGATCTTAAACTAAAATGTGGTGCTTGCGGTAATGTAGGTCACATGCGTACGAATAAAGCTTGTCCCTTATATCAGAATAGCATAACTACAGCACCAGTAAATGTTGCGATGACAGAGGAACAGGAGGAAGAGATTGAAAAACAACTCAATACAGATGATCAAGATCTCGTTAACGTAGATGGAACTAAAGTGAAATTATCATCTAAATTAATTAAGGTAATTTATTTTGAATTATTTAAATTAATTATTTAGCTATTAAATATTAAAACATTAAAGTTAAAAAATTAAAAACTATTAAAATAAAATTTGTAATTTTTATTTTGTATTTCTTATAGCATGCTGAAGAAATGAAAAGGCGTACGTTACTTTTGAAAGTGCCCAAGGAAGCAGTAAATTCCAAAAAACGAAGGAGAGCTACTGGAGATGACCATTGTGATTATCTTAAACGACAACAGAGACCTGCCAATAGGCGTAGAACAGATCCTGTTGTTGTTATGTCTACAATGCTAGAAAGTATACTTAACGAAATGAGAGACTTACCTGATGTTCAACCTTTTCTATTTCCTGTTAATGCCAAGGTATATTTTATTTTTATTGAATATATTTTAATAAATATATTTTACAATTTATCTATATATTTATCATTATTCTATATATTTATCTATATATTTGTCATATTTCTATTAGGCTGTTCCTGATTATTATAAAATTATACAAAGGCCTATGGATTTGCAAACTATACGTGAAAATTTAAGATTAAAAAAATATCAAAGTCGAGAAGAATTTTTAGCTGATGTTAATCAAATTGTAGAAAATTCAACTCTATATAATGGAATAAAAAGTTCATTAACAGTAGCAGCCAAACGTATGCTGGAAACTTGTGTAGAAAGACTTGGAGAAAAAGAAGATCGTCTGATGAGATTAGAGAAAGCAATTAATCCTTTATTGGATGACAATGATCAAGTTGCTCTTACTTTTATTTTAGACAATGTTGTAAATAATAAATTGAAATCTATGACTGAAGCTTGGCCATTTTTAAAACCAGTTAATAAGAAATTAGTGAAAGATTACTATAATGTTATTAAGAGACCTATGGATTTAGAAACTATATCTAAAAAAGTATCTGGTAATTTAAACTATATTTATAATTATTAAATATTATGAATTTTTTTATAAATATCATGATTATATTTATATTTATTATATTGTTTTCAGCACATAAGTATCATAATCGTCATGAATTTCTTAGAGATATCGAACAAATTTTGGAAAATTGTACAGTATACAATGGAAAGGAATCTCCATTTACACAAAAAGCAGAATTGCTAGTGAAAGTTTGCAAAGAAACATTAGATGAGGTTATTATTGAGATTGTTTAAATATATTTTAATTATAATTAAATTTTAATGTTGTACTCATAATTAAATTATATTTTAGTATGATGAACATTTAACACAGTTAGAAAACAATATATTATTAGTACAAAAACGAGCAATGGAACAAGCAGATATAGATTCTTCATGGCTTGGAGCAGATGAAGAAAATTATACTATTGTAGAACCAGAATTTAGAGGGGTATTATATTTATTTATAAATTAAATTTTGTTATTTTATGTTTTTTTTTTAATAAAAATTTTTATAAAACATGTAAAATGTTTTTTTACAGAGTCAAACAAGTTCGCCAGAAAATCCATTTGGAAAAACGAACATGGAAGATTTTGATTTTGTGGATGTAGAAGGAGATATGGAAGGTGATGGTAGTAGAAGTGTAAATTCTAAAAAAAAAGATGTTCTTGAAGAAGGTAAATAAAATTTTTTCATATATATTTTTATATATTATATATTATATTTTTATATATATTTTTATATTTGTATATATTTTTAGTTTTACTTAAATAAAAAAAAAATTATTAATATATTTCGTTATAGATTTACAATTCTCTAGTGAAGATGAATTTGATGAAGTTCCATTTGGTACGGATGAACAATCTGAGAATGCTGAAATGGAAACACTTGAATTGAATGAAGTTAGAGAAAATACAGAAGGCGGAGTAGTATTGGCGGATGATGATAGTCAACAAGCAGCGGAAGCAATGGTTCAATTGGGTAATGTCGGTTTTTATATGACGGACCAACAATTGCTTCAGCAAGGTTGGTAATTGTAAAGTATTTTATATATATTTTTATTATTTTATTGTTTTTTTAATCATTTTTTTTTTAAATTACAGACGAAAGTATGGATGTTGATCCAAACTATGATCCTTCTGACTTTTTGCTAGCTGGTTTACCAGCCAGAGATGAAAAAACTGAGAATAAAATACAGGATGATCTTGCTGTATCTGAAAGCGATGATGATGCAGAAAATAATGCGAAACAAAAACAAAAAACATCACAACCATTACCACAACCAGAAGAAGATGTTGGTGGTGATCTTTGGTTTTAAACAAATATCATTTATTTTTAGTAATAAAATTATTTTGTAGTTTACTTCTTAAATCAAAAGAATTATATTACAAAATGAGAAAAAAATAAGAGAAAATCAAAATATTTATTTCTTATAGGAATAATTGAATTTCAATATTTGAAATTAAATGAAATATGTATGTTGTTTAAAATGAATGATTTTATAAAAAGGAAAATGAACGTCTGAATTCCTATAACATATCTATGAATATTATATATACATATATGTAAATATATATTAGAAAATTGTTTTATAAGTATCACGCGGATCTTATTTTTTATGCAGAATAAACTGTATAAATTTATAAAGAAAAATAGTCAAAATAAAATAGTCGAATGTAAAAGTTTGCAAATTCAGTTTGCTTAAAACTATTTCTAACCAAATTTTTGTTTATATAGTAAAATAAATTTTTTACAGTATTAATATAACATTACTTAACAATGATTACTGATACGAAATTAAAAAATAAAATGGATTATATACAACGAATGTGTAAAGATTTGTCACGCGATCAAAATAAACTACTTAATAATATAATTCATATAACAAAAAATGCATTACCACATCAATTGATAATTTATGATCCAAATAATATTATTGTATGTATTATTCAACTTTATTTTTATTATTATGATATATTGCTTCGAACTGATAACATATGCATATATAAACGAAGAAAAAAATATCGACATGCCAGAGAATGTTACAATAATTTATTGAAAATATATATTCCTAAAAAGTCTAAAGAAACTCTTGAAATTATACTTAATACAATTTGTGAAAATAAACTTTGGGAGTTTGAAACCTTTTGTTTTGAACTTATATGTGATTTATTGAAATATGGTCTTAGTGGATCATTAATGTTTCATGCTATATGGGATAAAATTGAAGGTCCAAATATGAATATAGAAGATTCAAAAAGAATCATGAGAATATTATATGAATTATTAAATGTATATGAATGGCCAAATACTCATGATACAATAATAGTTATTGAAAGAATTTTAAATCTGTTTTATATTTCTATAACTACTACAGAATCAACAATTAATTTTATACCATATGCAACACTTAAGAAAAGTTTGGAAGTTTGTATTATTAATATGGTAAAACATATATATAATTATCATCTTCTCATCATAATTCATCACATGTGTTCATGGGTTGTTGAAACAGAAATGACTGATGAATTTATATTACAATTTGGTAGTACACTTGAATATATAGCCTTCATACATAATGTAACATTATATGAGAAAACTTTAACTCCAAAGATATTTCCATTATTAATGGAAATGATAGCATCCACAAGTAAGATAAGCAGCTTATTAGGTAATCGAGTTATTCAACATTTGCTTGATAGAAAAGAAAATAAAGCAAATTTTGATACACCTAAGATATTTTTTGAAGATGCTAACTTTGACATAAAAATGGAGCGATATTATAAAGAAGATAAAATATTCTGTAAATATCATAGAGAAATTTTACATGACAGTTTTCTAAAAGGTATTTTAAATCATTGTTCATCACGTATGAATTTAGAATCAATATATTGTACAATATGTCTGATTGCTGTAGAAGTTCCATGTGGATTTACAGCAGCAGCTGTAGTTTGTCTTTTAATGAATTTACAAGATATAACTTTAAAAGAACAAAATAAACGTCATGTTGAAATATCGTATCATATACATGCAACAGTGATAGCAATTATGTCTCTTTTATGTTGGATTCATAAAGCTGATGTATTTTACGAATATGTGAATAAAATAATGTTGGAAAGGGCACAATGGGCTCCGCATTTAAATCCTCCTATTCAATCTCAATATAATTTTGCTGCACATCATATTCTTTGGAACAAACCAGATTTATTTTTTGTAGATTGGGAAGCTCGCTATGGTTTGTGGAAATGTTTTCGTTTAAGTGAAACTGATGAACAAGAAATTGATGCAGATTAAAATAATTTAATTTTATCAAAAATTATATGATTCAAATTAATTTTAAAGAATTTTAAACTTGTAATGTCAAAATTTTACATGATATCATGAACGTTAAGAAATGATTTGAATGATTGAATTACGAGTATAACAATATTTATCTTGATATTTTTTATTTTCAATTTATAATTTATAAGTAAATTTGAAAATATTTTATAATAAACCTATATCATACAATTATACATACAAGTAATTGACATCAAAATGGCTGTTTTGATATTATACATATATATATAAATATATATATGCTATATATATATATATATATATATATATATATAGCATAACTCATAGTATTACGTATTAAACAAAGGCAAGAAAAATTAATAGTGTATAGTATTTTATTAAATATTTATCATAATTTGCACTTTTCAAATGTATAACAATGTTAGTATATAATTAAAATTTATTTATAATTAAAAAGCGCGGTAATTTATTCGAAATTGTTAATTTTTGTATATCCATTTCACATCACTTTAAATATTTTTGAATCATAAAACAATTATTTTATAAATTATAAATTGTAATTAAACATGAACTATTTGGAAATTGATGAAATGTTTCTTTGTAATTCCTAAGAAATTCTAAGAAAATATTGACAATGAAATCAAACAAACATTTTTAAGCGCAAATTATACTGTAATTATTAATATCGTATTGTTTACATAACGAATTTTAGTTGTGGATTATTTTCGTCAAATCATCAAATTGCGTATCAATAAAGGTTAACTTTTTAAACAAATTAAAATGTTTATTTTTTTGTTTATTATCAATGTGTTCTTTAATGATGACAATATTTTTTTTGTTTTTGAAAAGAATAATTTTAGTTATATGATTTGAAAATTTTAATTAATAATTTGACAGAAATATATACATAAATAAATTTTCTTAATTCAAATAATATTACTTAAAATGTAACTATAAAACAAAATTAAAAAAAATTTGCAAGAATTATAAATAAAAAGTAAAGTATATTTATGATTCATATTTATTTATGAATAATTTGTTGTGAATATTTATTTTTCAGTTACACAAACAATTTTAAAGAAATAATGTCTGGAGAACAGTTTTCTTTAGTTTGGAATAGTTTTCCTAGAAATTTATCCTCTGGATTATATACTTTATTAACTGATGAACAATTAGTTGATGTAACATTAGCTGCAGAAGGTCAAATATTACGTGCACATAAATTAATATTGTCAGTTTGTAGTCCATATTTTAGGGAATTGTTCAAGGTATTTTAATTTATTTAATGTAATTTATATTTGTTTTATGATAATAAGATATTTATAATAATATAGGGAAATTCTTGTAAACATCCAATTGTGATTTTAAAAGATGTCAATTATCGTGATCTGTCAGCAATGCTTCACTTTATGTACCAAGGAGAAGTTAACATTAAACAAGAAGATATTGCTAGTTTCTTAAAAGTAGCAGAAAGTTTACAAATAAAAGGATTAACTACAGGAACAGAAGAGGTATATTCAAACAGATAATAAATTAAATGTGCAATAAAAGAATTTATTTTTAAGAATTTATTGTTGTAGAAATTTGAAGAAAATTTGACAAAGAATGCAGAAAACTTAGATCAAATATTGAATATAGAAAACAGCAGTATTAATTTTGTTAATTCAAATGCAAATGCTTTGATTTCAAAAGAAGAAAGATCTGTGCAGAAAAATCAACAATGCCAAAAACAACATGTTCTATCAAAAGATGAATTACACAATGATGAACTATCATTAGAGAATAAAAATGTCAGTGATAAATGTTACCAACAATATTCTATTTCTAATTCAACTTATAATGTTCAAAATTCTCATATGGAACAAAATAATAGTTCAACAAATTTAGAAGATGAACCATTGGATTGTACAGCTGATGTAACTCATATGGAATCAACAAAGCATGAACCATTGGATTATACACTTGATATAGATACAGAAACAGGATATAAAACATGTTTGCCTAATGAATCACTTTATAAATCTGATGAAAATTTTGAGACAAAAGGTAATTATTTATATAATATATTATTAGTGTAATCATTTAGAAAAAACAAGAAATTATGAATTAATAGATTAATGACAATAAAAACAATTATTTGAAATAGAAAAATTATTTAATTTTGTTAAATAAATAAATATTCCAAAATAAAATAATTAAAATTAATGAAAAAATTATTGTTTTATTGAGAACAAAAGATTTGACACACTTAATTATTTTCAATGAATAATTATACATATAAAATACATATAAATTAATTTTATAGTAAAATAAATTATATGTTTATTTACTGAATGTTTCAAATCTAAATTTGTTATAATTCAATTATTCATAATGTGAAAATATTGATAAAAAATATTATATTTTGTAGATTATGTACCAGATATGCAGTTAGTTCCCTATAATCAGAATGCCCAAACTCAACCATTTAGTAAGTCTTTATATAGTAACTCTTTATATTTCATCTATTTTATTAATTCAATAATATATTAATTTTATAATTTTTATATATTTTTAAAATACCTTTATTAAAAATTATTAAATTATAATTATCAATAATATATATTTTATTTATATTTATTTAATAGGTTTAAATAACGTAAGTGGTTTTGAAAATGAATTTACATATGAAACTGGTTGTCATAGTAAAGGTCGACGTACTGTTAAAGGTATTTCCAACAATAGTTTACCATTAGAAACAACTTTGCGTGTTGTATCTGAATTGGGACCAACTTTACGTATGGAAAGAGGCAAAGTTATTCGAATGTATTCATGTCCATGGTGTCTTCGTCATTTTACACGTAAAGAAAATTTAAAATTACATGTTCGATATATTCATGGTCCACTTGAAAGTCTAACATGTAGACTATGTGGTAATAAATATAAGAATAGTAACAGTTTACGTGTACATTCATATCTTTATCATAATGCTAAACGGGACAAACCTAATAAGCCATTACTTGATGGTGGAGAATGAAATTAAAAAGAAAAAAAGAACTGATATTAAAATTTGCACAAAATTACTGCATAATATATGCAATATTGTTACAATTTCATTTTTAAGAAAATTGACTGCATGTGCTGATTAACAAAAAAATTTATAAAAATCTAATTATTTAATATTTTTTATTTTGTTTTTATTAATGATTGTTAAACTATTTAAAGACTTCATAAATTTGGAGGAATACAATATTCTCTAAATTAATTAAAGAGATTTAGATTGTAGAAATAATTACATATTTTATATAAAATATTATATTAAAAAAATTTAATTTAAAAAAATCGATTGTAAACATATATGTATATTAATATATCATTTTGTGAATACATTTTTTATAAAATAAAAATTAATATTTGTATGTTTTTTTTCCTAAAGTATATATATCAAAAAATATCAAAATATACATATAGAATATCAAAATATTAAAATATATATAAAAAAGAATATTAAAATATATATAAAGAACAGTATAGATTTATCTGGAAAATGTATTCGATTTAAATATAAATTTCTTTTCAAATATTCATTAATCAACTTACAATCATATATCAATCACTTTTGAACAAGACAATTATTTTACAAGAAAAGATAAAAGAATTATATAAAAAAAATTTCAATTTGATTCCAAAATCAAATGTTAAAATCATTAATCATTCATCTCTCATCAAATGAATAATTAACCGTCCTATCAATTTATATTCAAAATATTATAAAATTATCATTAGTTTATTACAAATGATTTCTTAATTCCTTTTTTCCTCAAGAAGCCTATTCATCCTATTCATAAAAATTTATATTATATATAAAAATTTATTATTTTTGTATATTTTCTTAACGAACGATGAATTCTTGCTTTAACGTGGTTTTATATGATTTCCTAATCTGGATCAAAAACCGAAAGATTCATCAATTATCTCGGATCATTGCCTATAATAAACATACCCATAATTGGATTCGATCTTACAGACTTCGATAAATTATTCGAATCATTGTATTGCAAATCTTAGAAGATTGAGGGGAAATAATAAGACTAAAGGACAGTAGCTTCGCAATATCATTGGACTACTGTCTGGTTGGCCTTTTGCAACGAGGTCAAAGGCCACATCTTCGGAACATAATTATCTATAGACAGCATAGTCAGTAATACTGTGCCGATTCTCGTACATGCGACCATTATTTGTACAATTACGATTAGTAAAACTCGCCAATTTTTGAGCCGTTGATCCACTTCCGGTTTTGGATTCACCATTGAAAAAGAAAAAGGGTGCAAATATTAATCACAGATATCATGATCGCGATCAACTTTGTGGATATTCTCGGTATCTCGTTGCTGTTGCACTTTAGTTTCAGCCTACTACTGTTGATCGTTTTGGTCCCACTTCTGTTACTCGTTTATCCGGGTAATTATCCATGATAACCATTCCATCGGTGTTGTTGACAGTTATACTTTAGAGGCACGAGTTGAATTAACTTCAGAGACCAGATTTTGATTTGATGTGCAATTTAAAAAAAAAAAAATTCAAAATAACTTAATAATTTCTGGTTCTAAAATGTATATATTTTAGTTTAATTGTTTTTTTTATTTTTTAATTAATAATTGAATTGATTTGTGATTTAATAATTAATTTATATAGCTATTTATATAGATATTTTTTTTAACTTAAATACTTTTATAATTTGGTATACATTGAAATATTATTAGTAATAATGATATCTTAAAAAAAGTTAAAAAAAATTCAATCTTTAAATAAATATTTAAAATATTTATTTGCTGTTTTTGTACGATAATCTGGAAATGAATAGAAACGCAAATATCATTTGTTTTGAAAAATTTATAAATAAATCTCTTGTTTCATCTCATTATATATAAATATCATTAATAATAAGATATTAATAATAATTATCATGAATAATATTTTTTAATATTTATATTTATTTATTTATATTTTATTAGTTTTTATTTTTTTTTTATTAAGTTAAATATCATTTCTCATAAAAATTTCTTTGCATTCATTATCGTATTTTGAAAGATATCATTTAGATAAATAAATTACAAATGTTTCGTAGAAAATATTAACGAGGAAATTACAATTTTGTTATAAATATAAATCTTAACGATGTTTTATTTATGAAAGTGATTCATAACAAGTAAAAAACTCGATGTTGTATAGTTTATTAATATTATTAATAAATTTAATCATATTTTGTTGCTGATATGTATTTCCTTGAAATTATATGTTTTATTGAAATTATTTATAATATGCAATAATACAATTATGTTTTTTTCGACAAATGTTCGATTAATTATTATTATTATATATTGCAGATACACGAAACATTCGTAATAAATAATAATTGATAGAAAATTCGTATAATATCAGAAGATTTTTATACGTTTTTTGGCCAGACATCATGTATCTGTTTAACGAAAAATTGAAAATATAATTTTAAAATTGTAAATTTCAGTTATAAAATAATTATGATAGACAATTTGCTTAATATTATATCAAGTACCATATAAAAATATTAATGATTCTCAATATTTCGTATCATCATCTAATTTAATTTTATTATTATAAGAAATCCATATATATATATATATATTTTCATTTCAAGTATTAACATGGTCAAGAAAGAGTTGGATACGTTTTGTAAAATGGAAATATCCAAATGTGATCGTCGTAGAAGAGAACAATATTCGTACAATTCTAGATAAATTTCGGAATCATGTAGGTGCAATACGAATATAAGATTAATTTAATTCTACTTTTTATTACACTTCAATATTGTCAGTTTAGTCTTAAATGTACATTCTTTTTCTTTAAATATAGGGAATTTATACTTTATTGATTCAAGGCCGTTCAATTGCGGAAAGCATTCGTGCTCATTTAATACATTTGACTTCGTCCAGAAGATTTCTTCGTGCAGGCTTATCTACGCGATGGGGTCTTTATGTATGGAAGGATCTTGATTATTTTTCCGTGGACAATCATTTGTTAAATTCACCGTGTTTATACAGAGGTCGACCTATTACAGAATCCAACATTCAGGTCGGTTTTCAAATTCTAATTTTTCATAGTCTATCAATTTGTATTCTGTTTTATACTACATTTGATATTTCTTTTTATACAATTTTTATTTTTCATTTTTATTATAAGCTTTTCTGCATATTCTATGCTTTATTATGAATTACATTTTCTTCTATTTCTATACTTTAAAATAAAGTTTTTAATTATTTTTTAGATTTTTTATCAAATTTGACTTTGGACATGGGTTATAATGGATTATAATTTTTTTCAAATTTTTAATTCTCTATCATAAAATAGATAAGAATTTTTTTTACAATTTTACAATTAGGAGAATCTAAAATAGAATCTAAAAAGATATATGAAAATGATATATGAAAATTGTTTAAAATTTGTATTTAGTTGTTTTATATTTGCTTTTTTAATGCTACATTTATTAAAAGAAATTAGACTTCTTTATTCACTTCTCTAAATTTAATTACGAAATTTGAATATAAAAGTTTAAAAATATAAAATATATATAAGATATAATAGAACGACAAAATAGAAATATAATACACATATATATAACACATAAAAATACAAAAATATATATAGAATTTGATACAACATATAAAAATATAAAATGTACTTTTATAAATTAGACAAAAAGCAAATCGAAAAATTTAGATATATGTAATACTATTTTGTGATTGAACATTAGAAACTTTGCTACTAGCATTATAGGATGCAAAGAGCTATATATTTCAGAGACAGAAAGAAAAATACTAAACTTTTGAACTTGAAAACTAAAACTTTAAAATAAATTTCTCATATAAATTTTAATAAAAAATTCTTTTTAATTAATTATTTATTATCGATTAATTTATCAAATTGGATTGATATTTTTGATACGCAACATGTTTTTCACTAATTTTATATTATTATGAAATTTATTTCTAAATATGAATGTATATATTTAAGATTGTTTCCCTACATTTATATATAATTTTTATTCATAATTTTATTATTTATATGAATAAATTGATTATTTATTATTCAAATGAAACAGAAGTTTGTAATTAAGATAATTAAAATAATCGTTAATAAGTAATTAATGAAAAATAATTATGTTAAAATTGATATGAGAAACTTGTTCGAAATTCTAACTTTAGAGAGACATAAACCTAAAAATGCATAAATTTTATGATAGAAAATTAATAATTAATTGATTTTCTTTGTAACTTTACCAAAATATCTTTTCTATTCTTATCACACTATCACTCTCTTTGTTTTGAATACACCTTGAACATCCTGTTATGCTAATAGCAAATCGAAATTTTCAGTGTTCAAACGCGAGATCGCGCTGATTCCGAAACTTTTCGGTCGTTTTCTAACTTATCGTCAAAATGTCAATAGATCAAGAAATAAAAGTATGGCTAAGTTTTATAATATTTAGAAATATTTGTTTAAGAGAAGTGTTATAAAGGAATTTGTTCTAAAGTGAAAAATTTGCAAAAATGTTGAAAATAATTAGAAAAGAAATTTTTTAGAAGAAAAAAAGAAATATAAGGATATAAAAATAATGTATACATATTTATATATTAAAAATTATATGGATTAAAGTTCATTTTAAGCAAATAGTTAATAGTTAATAATTAAATAGTAATATATTAAATATTTGGATTCATGCATTTTAGGATTACGTGAGTGATCTCACATCGAAATTTTTTCCACCAGAACAACCACCATGGCAAGTGCACGTAATAAACTGTTTCTTTCGTGGCGAAGAGTATCAAATCTGTTTAGTGAGAGTCCATCATTTACTTCTACGACAAGAACACTTAGTCTTAGCTGATTTTCTTCCATTAAGATATTGTTCCGATATTTGGGAATGCGAAAAAGTGAATTCTCCTTTCACGAATCTTTATTCCGAGCCATCGGCACTTCCGAAACTTTATCAGAATCTCACGGAAAGTTTCAGTAATTATTGGAACGAATTTTTATATAATAACGACCCAAACAAAAGACCGGAAATTTTGAAGAAACAAATTGATATTCTGCAATGTTGTAAAATCAGTGTGATAGTTTTATTTTCTTCGATGAAAGAGATAAAAAGGTAATTAAATAATAAATAATAAAAAGATAATTTCACATAATTTCGCGTAACCTAAAAAATTATCAAATTTCTAGAATTCTTTATCAATATTTTTCTTTTTTCACTGAAGGAAATACGGAAAAGGAGAAGATTTCAAGTTTCTCGATATTTTCTCCATATTTCAACGAGAAGCTAAGAAACGAAATATCGAGCAGATCGTGTTTTTACATGCCTTATTAAAATCTTTGAATCCTTTTAAATTTTTGTCTAATCTTGTTCTGTGGTGTTGGTACTTAACAATCATATTCATATTAAAAACACCGATTCTCTTTGCTCGAGAGTTACAAGCCTTAAAATCGCCTTACAAACATTATTATCCGGATACTTTAATTTCCACGTTATGGTATTATGTTCCTCTAATATATTGTGCCACTATGGAAGTATTATCTATTATGTGGATCGCGATAAAGGCACCGAAAATTATCTTTGAGGAATTGTTTTTGAAATACGTACATGTGAGTCGACTTCAAACTATATCTTCTTGTGGACGAAAAGTGGTTGCATGGTCGGAGGAGGTCGAACTCGATATTCTTCGAAAAATTTCCATTATGACAGGTGCGACAGAAGCTGAAATTTTGTTGGCCGCAACTGTAGATGCTCTCAAAAAATATTTCCGTCATTCTGGTGTTAGAATACCGGATGATGTATTCGCTACTGGAAAGTTCGTCAGACAAAGAACGATATTTGTACAAAATCACGAAACCAGAGGTATTTTGTGCCTTGCACTTCCTACGAAAACTTCGTTGTTCGAGGATGATTTGGTTGAAATTTTGCAGGTTTGTGTTAGAGAATTTAATTTAATAATATTATAGTAAAAATCGATTTATAATAATTCTTTAATAATAATTTCATAATTAGATAAGATTGTGTACTATACAATAATTTTACAATAGTTTTACAATAATTTTAAATATTTGAATTAATTATAATTATTTATCAATTTCTTCGTCTAATTTCTAAGTAGCAAAGAAGAATAAAATTAACGTAAAATATCTTAAATAATAAAACGACATTATTCTCTTTAAGACGCATTCTGTATTTCATTTTTATATTTTTATATTTTAATATTTTTATTCTCCTTTAAGGAACATCGATAGAAAAAAAAATTATCGAATAATAAAAATTATGAATTCATAGTATTATTCGTAATAATATATATATATATATATATCATAATAGATTAAATATTTATTTTAAAAGTACTTATTTCAGATTATTCAAAAAAATGTGCGTGAGGCAAGATCAAAGCAAAATGCGTTATATGCAATTACGGCGGCAGAAGAGTCCTACGGATTAATTTCTTCTTGTTTACCTTCCTTATTACTTAAAGTGATGCTAAATCATTTAACGAGAAGATATTCCCTTTCTTTAACACACATCGATGGAAATCTCGTTATAGAAGGCGTCGATGCGGTGATGTATTGGAGACCACCTCAAGGCAATTGTAGTAAATGTTTTATTAAAAATTTTTCATCTATGAAAATGATAAAAAAAATCTACGATGTTTTTCTCATATTTGTTTTTTTAATATATTACGTTGTGAGAAAAAATCAAGAAATTTTGAATTGATTTAAGAAGAAAAAAATTATGAAGGATATATAATTATAAGAAATTTAAAAAATTCTTTATTTCTAAAATACTATCTTAAATGTTTTTGACAAAACCATAAATATTTAATAATTTTAATCGTTAAAAATCGTTTAAATAATTACTTAAATATTTTTTATCACTTAATACATGTTTCATTCTTGATAAAAATCATTATTAACTCACATGATATGGAACATGTTAATTGTTGTTGGAAAATTTATTTCTTTTTTTTTTGATTTATAAATATTCTCAATATGTATCTTCTTTTATTTTCAATGTTCATTAAAATCTGCAACTTATTTTTTTTAGATATGTCGATAAGTCTACACAAATATGGAAGTGGTGTACGATTAGGTGTGATGGCTGACGCGTTAATTGGTCCCGAGCATGCAATCATTACAAGAACTTTTCCAAAAAGTGTGGAGAATCTCGCTAATGTAGTTGGTGTTCCTAGAATTCCGAGCAGAAGTCCAATTCAGAATCTAGCACTTAATCCAAGCACTTCACCGGGATATTAAAAATGTATCGAGATTGTACAAAATAAATAAGGTTCTAATTTCTAATCGATATTTGAATTGTTTTTTTTTTTTATCGTGTTTTAGCACATTTTTAAAGTCAGAAATTTAGAAAGAAAATTCTTAGATTCTTAAAAAAGAAAAATTGTTTTCGTATATAAATAATTAAAATTTCATTAGTTTTATAACTAGAAAAATTTTTCCTTTCACAAGTATCATAAAATATTACAAATAATATTGATTCGGATATTGCACGATATTATGTTAATGATAATTCAATTTCAGTTCATTATCTCTTTTATATTTTCTTATTTATGCTTGTTTACATTATAAAATTTTTTTCTTACAATTTTAAAATTAATTAATTTCACATATCTTCTATGTCTGACATATTATCTGCAGTAATATGGATAATTTTACAGGTCACGTGTTTGTCTCTTGAGAAGATAAATTCTTCTAAAAGATTGAATAAAATTTTAAATTTGAAAATAGAACTGGATATTAGGTTGTACAGTAATATATAGAATTTTTTATATTTAATCATATTGAATAATATTTATAATTATTTTCGATGTTCATATATTTATAAAAAAATTTTCAATTTTTTAAGAAAATGATAATAAAAAATGAAAAAAATTAGCTATATTATTTGTTACATTTTTATAAATTTATGATGCAATATTATTTTATCTCCGTCCTTTTTGATACTCATTTTTTTGATATATTAAATAATTATATAAAAATAATGTTTCTTGAAATTATAATATATATATTACAATAAATATCACGTATATATTTATATAAATATGTATACTCGCATCTAATTTGTACGTGCACTTTTATTGTACAATTTACACTTTATAATAATTCATATTATATATAACATATTATATATAACACAGAATGTTAAGAAAGATATATTTTTTATTTCTCTACATATATTATACTGGATAAAAAAAAATTCTAAAAAAATATTCTTAAATTAAAGTATACTTAAATTACTTACCAACATTTTATATTCTTTCCTTTTCTTATTTAAAGATATTGTTATTGATAATTTTTATAGATATTTTTTTAATCATTATCACGATTATATTTTATTACTATTATTAAAATAATTATATAAAAAAACTATTATTATTAATATTATCAATAATAAAAAAAAAGCTAAGAAGATTTAAGAATAATACAAGTAAAATTACAATCATTATAGTTAAATATTTTTATCCTCTGTCATGAAAGAAATATTTTTTTGAAAGTTGTAAAAATGTTTTTAAAAATTAAATAAGTTCATCGAATTTATTTTATTATTTTTTATAATGTATAACATGATAACATTGCACTTCAAAAAATTTCGTTAATATATTAATTAAGCGCCATATCTACAATTATATAATTAACTAGAATACACTAATTCCAAAATTTGACTAATTTTTTCCTGACAATGATTATAATCACAGTTGGGACGTTACGTTACAACGATGCGAAAAATAATCATGCATCGTTTTAATTAGCATGGCAGACTTGATTTCTCAACTTTTTATCTATATTGGACGTTATAAGGCAAAAATTTAGAAATATAAGAAGTATCAATTTCTGAGTATATTCGCAATTTTTCTCTATCATTAACATCTCCCAGAGTATATGAATTTAGTTTTACTATGTTTTTGTTCAGAAATATTCGAAATATTTAATTATTAAATAATATATTTTCACATTATATATTTCCATTAATATATATATTGTGTATAGAAATCTTGTAAATATTTATCAAAGCAAGATTTAATTTTTTTTTCAAATCTTTTTGTTTCTTCTTTTTTAAAAAAAGAAATTTATAAATTATTTAAGTAAAAATTTTTATTTTAATAAAATTATTGAAATCTAGTTTTTATTAGTAAAACTAAATAAGATGTATATATAGCTTTGTACTGTTAGATAAGAATAAATATAACAATCAATGATCATAATTTTGACAAAAATGTAGTTATTTAATTAAATATTTTATTTCCTCGCTGTTTATTGTTTCCTGTTTTTTTTTTATTTATTTGTAAATGCATTTCATTGAAATTTAAGTTTCATTCTATAAGTACATGTTATTACGAATTAGTATATATAAATACTATTATTATCATTATATATAAAATATAACTATCATAGTTATCTAATAGAAATGAAAAAATCTCATAATAAGATAATAATCAGATTAAAGAAAAATAAATAACAACAAATAATACTTTCTTTTTTCATTTTTCAACTTTCAACAATAGAAATAACAATAAATGATTGTTTACTTTTGCTGGAGGTAATAGTGGTTCATTGAAACTTAATTAATAATAAATTCAAGCTAAACTGTCTCTTTCACGCTCCATTTCGATTGGACCTTTGCCCCAAATTTTTCTATTTTTGGTGTACGGAATAAGCCCCACCAATAATCCAGAAACAACAATCCAACTACCCGCCATATAAAAGGATAAATCCCACGAATTCGTTATATCAAATAACCAACCAGCCAATGGCGGACCAAGAAGATTCCCTATACCCTGACATAATAGGCTAAGACCATAGGCAGTAGTGAATCTCTCCAGAGGTATCAATTGTACCAATATAACAGGAGTAAAACTAAAGCTACTCGCGAAGAAGAGGCCAAATGCTGCTGAGGTAATCATCAACAAATTGTAGTAAGGAGTAAATGTTGACATTAAAAATGTTGCCACACCACAAGCAACCAGACACCAAGTGTAAGTTTTGCTCACATTCATCCAAGGTTGATCTCCCGCCCATCCAAGACCAATCTGAGAACATATTAAAAATAAAATTAGATATGTATTGAAAACAATTGATAAATAAAATCAATAGTACCATTCCAATTGTGTTAGTGATGCCGATAATACTGAGAAGATTCGCAGCATCGGACTCGGTGTAACTGTTTCTGGTAAGATGTTCGGCAAGATAAAAGTAAGGCACGATAAACCAAGTGAACAGCAAAATCGTTGACAGTGAGAGGAATAAAAAATGCAATTCCAGGAACATTGAAAAGTCCATCATACCTTTTAGTAAATCTATTAATTCGCTGTACCATTTCTGAAAATAAGAAATTAAAATAGAGACTCGATCGGTAAATGAATGATGAGTGATAAGACATAAAGAAGCGAAAAAGAAGTCTAGAAAATAAAGAAGGATTGAACAGAGGTCAGAGAAAAAGAAAATTCAGGAATAAAAGATAAAAAGGTACATAGGGTGGAAATAGAGAAAGGAAATAAAAAAAAATCTAAATAGAAATTAAAATAGATCGTGAGTTTAATTATCGTTGATATAAAATAAAATTATTATTTTTATTTTACCTCCTCGTTTTCTTTGGCCAATGTAGTCATACTATTTCTATAAATATCGGGACAACTGCTAGCTCTTAATCGGTATTTGTGTAAATTGAGAGCAGCGCCACGATACATAACCGAATTTCTATGGACTCTGATATCTTTGAAGTAATGAGTGTTGGTATTAAATTGTTTTTTTAACCACGGAAGCGAGTCCGTTTTAATAAGTCCACAATTTAATTCTACTATGTGTTGTCTAGACACAGATTTTAATTTTCGTCCCTCGCTTATCTAAAAAATTATGCAATAATGCGAAAAGATATAAATAATTTTCTTTCTTATACAGCAAATAAATTAAAATTAATTTACTAACGTTTTCAAGTTCTTTAATTAAAAGAGGATTAGCTTCTTCTGATTCTTTTTTATATATTTTTTTACCTATATGATTTTTTATAGTGTTGCACGCAGATCCAGAGTAAACATTATTTATTACATGCGAATTGTCATGTTTTGATTCATCACGTGCTTGCTTGATTCTTTCGAAAAACGAAATATAATATTAAATCTCTCGTCATTGATAATTTATTATAAGGATAATCTATATAGATAAAATTTAAAACCTCATAGACATTGTGACAATACTCTTATTGCCAACTTCTGAATTGGAATCTTGTAACATTTTGTCCGAATAACTTCTACAGGATAGAAGATTAGGATAGTTCTCCAAAATGACCTTGCATAATCTCGGATTACTGGAAAGCGACTCTAATACTTCCATAGGCACCTACAATCCTCAAAAATGCATACTTTAGATGATATTTCCCAGATCTTTTCTTCGATCAATTTTTTACAAAGCATTCGTCAAACTTATTCATATAAAATATATCACTGTAAGTATTAATGTACATTCAAGATCAAGTTCTTTAATTAAGATACGCATAATAAAATAATATTGATTTTCAGTATTTCCTCACAACTGATATATTTGACGAAATATTAAAAAAAAAAAAAAAAAAAAAAAAAAAAAAAGAAAAAGGAAAAATGACAAAAGAAGTCCTTCAAAGAAACAATTACGGTATTCCACGTTTATCCAGGTCAGTTTCTCACCTTCTCATTATGTCTGACAAAAGTAGGCAAATTAACCACGCTTCTGAATCTAACATCTCCATCGACCGATTGCGGATCCTCCGTGGTGGTGCTGAGAATTTGCAACAGATATTCCGGCGTATGTCTGCTCTTCAACATCTTCCTCAGCTCCTCGATCCCAGGAAACTCGTCCACGGGGCTGATGCTCGATCTGTCGCACTCGGACTTGGTGATCGATTTTTTAGGTGTTGCACCGTTCTGCTTCTCTTGTTCCAAGATCCACCATTCGGGATCGCGCATCACCGTCCCGCAAACGATCATGTTGAAGAATGTGCCCGCCAGTAGCAAGCAGGTGCCTCTCCATCCGTATTCCTCGATGAAATACGTGGTCATGGGCGCGTACACGAAGGTGCCGATTCCTGTGCCGCACGCGCTCAAACCTACAGCTAGGGTCCGCTTTTTCTCGAACCAATACGCGATGCTCACGACCGCAGTGACGTAGCACAGACCCAGACCGAGACCCGCGATCACTCCAAACGTCAAATACATTACCTCAATCGTGGTGCTGAAACAGCTCAATATGAACCCGAATCCCGAGATCAGACCGCCGACGATGGTCATGCTCCTGCACCCGTAACGATCGACCAACGCGGACATGATGGGTCCGGACAAAAGTGGGACGGCCATGAACAGAGAACCTATCCAAGCTGTTTTCAACTTGGATGCGCCGAACTCTTGCAAGAATTCGATGTACAGGAGACCGAAACTGAACGACACCCCGTCTGCTATCATGGATATGATCAAAGAAGCCAACACAACCGCCCAACCCCATCCGCCGTCCGGCACCTTCGATTTCCTCTTCTCGTCCTTGGCCGTGCTAGTTAACTCGTCCACCAAATCGCTATCCGAGTCGATAGAATCCCTCGTATCGTCGTCCTTGTAGCCAGGATTCGGTGTAATTATCGGCCTTGCCTCCGGGGACCGTCTCAAATTATCCTCGCTTCTTTTAAACGAGCGCGACTCGTCGTCGCTTCTGTTCGTAGGGCTATGCCCGATCGCGAGGTTCGTCGAGATCAGGTAATCGGGGGGAGGAGGCGTGGGAGGGCCTATCCTGTCCTCGGTGCAATCCGTTCCAGGGCTCAACAGATCGATCTTGTCCTCTATGTCGTCGGCCAAGCTCAGCTCCTTGCTTCTCCCGATTTCCGGGGACGTGGTCAGGAACGTGTCCTTATCGGGCGACAACGATTCCACGCTTCTGTCGATGGTGCGGGCAGGCGTGGATTGAAGGAGTCTCTCGTCCGCCAAGCTGCTCAGGTCCTCCGTGTTCCCGGAATCTTGACATATCTCGGAACATTTGGTGGACGACGCGACGCTCTGCGAACGGGACAGATCGTCGATCGTGTCGAGCGATTCCGGGTCAGGGGTGGTACACGGTGTGCTTGGAAAAACAGTCGGGCTGCCGTTCTGCCAGCCGACTATGGGCGCCCTTTTCGGCAGACGATAATTCGAGTTCGTTTCATCCCTTTGAAACGCGTTCGACCGATGGTAATTCGTTTGATCCCTTAATCCGTCCCTTCTGCCGATCAGGTTCGCGGAGCTGTTGCTGCGAATATCGTTGTTGTTGTTTGTCCAACTGTAGACAGGTTTGTAGGGGCGTGTGGTGGATTGGTCGGAGATTGTTCTGCATAAGAAATTCTCGTTACGATCGGTCATTTTTGTTCTTCTAAATGTAGGTGTTGGCCGGGTGGATCCAACGACGGGGCCACCCCTTCAACCCTTGGATCTCGCTCGGGAAAGATCGTCCACGCCTCTCAGCTACCATAAGGACTTCCCAGCCGAGCTTGGACGAGTCACTAAACGTCGTTCGCCTCAGCATGCACGTACCGTCTTCTTTCTTCTCCTGTGGAAAATAATCTTTCGCTAATATAAGAAGGATTATGTTTTTTGCAAGTATAATTCAATGTTTATGTTTATGTTTGGATATGTTAGCGGTTCTTAAAAGTTCTTACGATTTTGAACGTGACTTTTATTTATTTATTTTTTTTTTCTTTTTTATGTGGTGTACGCGCAAATTTACATGGATGGTATCCAGTTTAAGGTTTCTTGAAGTTTAAAGACTTTGAAGAAGAGTTTTTATACGATGTGCAGTTTTCAACTTTATATGGATAACTTTATCTAACCGTTCTTAAAATTTACGATCTTGAAGATATTTTTTTTTAGTATGTATACCAATTTTCAACTTTACATTCACGTTAATTCCGTATCATTAATTTTTTTGTGGAAAAGAAATTTTCGCTGGAACTAATTAACTGTTATCCTTGTCATTTATTTTCTATCACAAGAATACTTGTATAGTGAAAAAAATAATTGTGAGAGAAAGAAAATTCTATTTCATCGTATAATGAAAATTGAAAAAAAGAAAAGAAAATAATTCATAGTAAAAAATTTCAAAAATTCAAAGCTTAATTTACTTTTTAAAAAGATTATTTAATTTTCTCGTATGATCTTATAAATACAAATGTAGTAAATGAAACGTACATTTTTTAACACGTATATAAGATGAACGTGCATTTAAGGTGTAAAATTATAAAATAAATCGAAATGCTTATTCATTGGCACGTGAATTGAAACGGTATGCCGGTGAAAAAAAAAAAAAAAAAGATGAGATTAAAATGAGAAAATAAGAATTTTAATAAAAGCGGAGCAAAAAAAAAAAAAAGAAAAAGTGAAGTAATTAGCAACAACGAAAAAAAAAAAAAAAAGAAAAAAACTGTTTACTCACCATTGAGGTAATGCAAGATGATATACAGGCGTGCATGCGTATTTAGGTGCAGGAATGTGCATACGACACTGAACGGTGTGAGCAAATAAAAAGAAATCGATAGAAAAAGAGAGGGAGTGTATATTTGCGATCAACCATTAAGTGATTAAGTTAACTAATCGTATATGCTAAAACAAGCAAAGCGTATACAAGTCAATTAGAAGAATAGAAGAAAAGCTGAGAATGGAAACATATTAATCAATTGTGAAAACAAGAGGAGAAACTTCCTGAAACAAGATAAGAATAATTACAAAAGTTGTGAAATATATTTCTTTATACATTTAATACATTGGCTCTTGGATCGATTCAACAGACAAAAATTATTAAACACAAATTGGTATACAAAAATTTCGTTTAAGAAATTTTTACTTATTAAATTAAAAAGTAAATAAATTTCCTTTAGATGAAGCGAAATGAAGATATAGCAGAAACAATTCTATTTCAGTTATATCGTCATCGTGTTTTATCTCCGTCTTGCTTCATTTAAAGCAAACTTTTGTTTTAATCTTTTTCAAGAAAAAAAAAAAAAATTTCAAAAAGTGTGTCACGAATATATAAACATCCTTTTACACGCATAATTACAAATATATATTAATGTCATCTTTTATATAATATTTTTAATTGAATTAAAACATTGTGCATAATATTTTAAAAGTAAAAAGAGATGGATATCATCGTTAACTCCAAGAAGAATAATTAAAAATTTTCAAGATTTTTCTCAACAATTTTCTCTCTACTATTACTTTTATTACACAAATAAATAAAACATTCTTCTATACTTGTATCTTCACTTCTGTAAATATATTTTCCTATTATACTCCATTTATTTCATATTTTAAATGTGTTCTTACAAAAAAGAAATTGTTTGTAATTTGTAAGCTTTCTCTTTTATTTCGTTTCATTAAAGAAACGAACGGAGTGATGGTGCAAGGATTAGAAGCAATCTGTTTGACCACTTCTCTTTTCTTCAAAACTTCTCTAAGAGAAATACAATAATCGAAAAAGTAAATAATTTTGATTCAATCCAATTCTCGAATGAATGTATCATGATTCAAACGGCATGGTAAGAGCATTATATCCTAAACGTTTTATTAATTATCGTTTATATAAATACGAGAAGGTCGACTTTTGTGCTAAATAACATACATATGCTATATCCCCGATAAAAGCTCGGCAATGAATCATCTGTTAAGTAGTCTTTGACAGGCTTCGATCTAATGTAATTCATTTATCTTTCTGTATTTCTTCTTTTTTTTTTCTACGAATCCACTTCCATGAAATCTTCTCTCTAAAACTAAATATAATTTATTCGAAAGAGGACTTGGAAAAGAAGTTGGAAAGAACTTCTTCCAAAAAGTCGTATTCTCTGGACATATCCTCTACATGGACGCGATCCAACAATAGCATGCAGTTTCGTCTAACTATTGATCAGGAAGATGAATAAAATATGTTCGTGCAACAAATTTTGAAATATTTATTTCTTCGTATTTATTTTTAGAATTTAGAAAATAAATTCTTTTTTTTATATTCACGCATTATAATCGAAAGATCCAATAAAATTTTTATATTTTTCTAGTTTGGCAGATTTGTTATTTCCAAGAAAATAATGTCACTGGGTTAGTAAGTGGATTACCAGTTTCTTATAAAGGAGAAGTAAACCGAAGCACGTGATTTATAGGTTTACGAGGAAATCGATGGGAGTTCAATCGATACGGTTCTCGGGTTATTTTAGGTACATTTATCCTCTTCATTCTTTTCACCATAGAGTGCTTTCGATTAGAATAGAGACCTTGAATTCTATTGCAAACACAGATGACAAGTTGAACGAATTTTCTTCTCTCTCTCTCTCTCTCTCTCTCTTTCTTTCTCTCTCTATTAATCTTATAATTAAAGATATATATTTGACTATTGTTGATACAAGTCAATTTAACTATTGCAATTAATATCAACATTATTTCAATATATTAATATCGAAATTTTAGAAAATTTAATTTTCTTTATCTCTAGAAATTCTTTGCTTTTCATTTACCGATTATAAACGATCTATCTACATATCTCGTTTAATTTATTTCGTGCTATGTATTGCGTGTAAAGACCAGAAACAAAGTAGTATTTGATGACACATATCAGACTTGTAATCTTTTGAGCAATTTCATTCAACAAATAGCGATGATAAATAATTATTTAGAGAGATAAAAAGAATCTTTCGAAATTGTTAAGAATAAAATTTATCGATAGAAAAAATAAAAAAAATTTTTTTTCTAAATAAATGTCAAGGAAATCAGAAATTAATTTAATAAAAATATGAAAGTTTTATTTTTATTAAATTATATAACTTCATTTATTTATTAATGCTTCTATAATTTTTCTCTAGGTATCGCAAGATATTCATTCAAAGAGCCGTCGATCGATTGTTCTTTTGATTTCACGTGAACCTTCACCTACAAGGTGTGGCCATAACTTTAAGGTTATCTTATCAGGAAAGGAAATTCAGAACGGATATTATTAGCCTGCATGCAACGAATCCTTAATCGCTATTGTATTTATTATTCACAATTCCTATTGGATTGTTTCATATTTACAAATTTTTAAAAATAAGACAAATTAATTTTATATATTTTTTTTTCTAGCTTTAGTTACAAAAATTTAAGTGCAATATTAAATGTTTTCGAAATATTTGATTCTTCATTTTTTAAGAAGACATAAATGATATCATTATTTCGAATAAAAACGTCAATTAAAAAATTAGAAAATAGAATAGTATTTTGAATAATTTAATATTTTTTTCCGGCACAAGGAATAGCACAAAAAAATCTATGAAAAATTCATAAGTCACGAGATTCTAGTTTATACATATATATTAAGGAGATTAGGTCACGAGTGCTTATTCTTTTTGGCTAGTTCACAGGAATATGAGTACTACAGGATGATTCAGGAATGCCTAAGGCTAGTGATCGAGGGGAGTCACCATGACGACCGACATGGTCGATTCCAACGTCTCTCATCCACCAGAAGAAAATAAACAAGCGAGATCCAAGGATATTTTTCTAAATATCATCGATAATCGATCGAGGAGAAATTCAGATAATTAAATAAAATAGATATCGAGAACAGAATGTAAGATTCTTTCCATTGCTTAATTTGCCTAATTTTAGATTTCATATTTCTATGTTTACCTTCTTTCTCTATGACACCTGCTCGCTAAAAATTTCATTTCGATCGATCACGTGTATCATTCTCAAGTTCAGCCAAGATTCTGCATCGTTATCATTCATTTTTTTCGATTAATAACGTAATATAATGTCTTTTCAAAAATTTATAATAAAATTTCTTTTACACCGATAAAATCGATTTGTTCATCGGACAACGATATGATTATAAATTGTTGAACGAGCAAATTCTAACCTGCAATATTATCATTGTAAAAAATATCGTAATGTTAATATTTGTGTTATTAATCTTTTATTATCATGCTTGTGTAGCATACATTCGGTCGAGTATAGATTGTTGTCGGTTATGGATAAATATTTCAACCCTTTAAGTTAAACGTTTTATATAATATGAAACATTTTTGAACATAATCCGCCATTGGCTGACTACAATGATTCTGATATGTTAAATTGAACATTCGATACATTTCTTAAAAAAATAGAAATATCGAAACGAAAATAAAATAAAATAACGAAAAATAATTTTCAATATCATTTATATTGATGAAAAAGAAGTTATTAGTAGGACGTAGAGATTATTTCTCAAATTTCTCGAAAAAAAAAATTAAAAATTTGAAATAATGAAATCTTATCAAGACCATTATAATTATTTAAGGAAGTTATACATTTTTTAAACATGTAAATCATTATCGTTCCAATTAATTATCTTGAATGCACCGATATTGAAAGCAACATCTAATTGTGAACGTACTTGCTTATCATGCATAACGTGAATATTAATATTCGTTATTACTGATACTTTTGCAGCACAATTTTAAAATAGAAGATCAAGTTATTAAAAAACAGTTATATAATTATATCATCTTATTAAATCTTCACTTTTTCACGATTATATACGATTTTTATTTAAAATATTTTAAATATTTATATATAATAAAATAACTACTTAAAAAAGAAATAGATTTATAGATAAAATAATAATAATATGTGAAATTAAAATTTTTTCATCAATTGTAATAACATGAACATTAATGTCACAGTGTGCCTGTATAAATTATATAAATTTTCATGACATAACCTATTCGCATAATAATCCTATAATACAACGTTAATCCTTCTATACAAGTATAATATGTACATACAATGTACATATTTAAATATAATGTAAAATATTATTTTTCATGGAACGCGTGAATATTTGATGTTTGTAATCGATATCATAGTATATCAGATGTAATATGACATTCTACTTCATATAAGAAAAATATAGATTAAAGAAATAAAATATTAATAAAGTAGAGAAATTCAAATAATAAAAAAAATAAAAAAATGTAAAAGTAACGTTTGTCATCTTTTTTATTAAAATATTTTTTTGATAGAAAAATTATTTTCTTATTAAGAAAAAACAAAAATAAAGAACTATGATTCTATTGATAACGCAGAGATTATTTTGCAGAGAAATTTTGATCACTCGATCATATAAAAAACCTATCGATTAAATTTGTTAAAAAAATTTTAATATATTTTAATGTTTTTATTACAAATATAATATATACATAAATAAAAATATGTAATAATGTGATAATAACTAGATAAACAATAATAAAGTAAATAAATTAGATGTAATTAAAATGTAATTATTAAAGGAAAGAAAAAAAAATCTAAACAAATATTTTAATTAACTATAAAACACAAATATTATATATTCTAATTATTAATATTTATTTAAATGTGTATTAAAATTAACATATTTGTCATTTTATCGAAAAACAAAAATTACACGAGTATTTGTGTATTATAATTAATTAAAATTTATTAAATATATACACATGGATATATAATAGATAAAGTGTTAAATATAGAACGTGTTAAGTATAGAAAATAAAAAGAAATAAAAATCTTAAAAAATTGTCTGTTCTTTTTTTCCCAAAAATATAATATAAATTTTTTAAAATATCATATCATAAGATATAATTTTTTTTCCTTATATTGCAAAAATCACATTACATTTTGAGAAACTAAATTAAATGAAATTAATTACATGAATTAAAATTTTGAATTTTATACGCATATTTTTATAGAACGAAAAAAAGAAATATGAAAATAGACACATTGATAAAATTTTATAAAATTTAATTAAACTACATTATTTCTATTTTATGTACTTACTATTTTTATGTTAATAATAAATCAATGAATTTAATAACAGAAATTCATACATGTACGGAAATTTTCCGATTGTCAACTTACCCACGAGGAGTGTTCTTGGTATTTTGCTGTGTTTTGCGTTTCTCACGAGAATGGATCCTTGGAAAATCGTCGATTCGCTAAAAGATTAATTCGTCAAGAATCTACTCGTGTAATCCCTTTCGATCGATATTCAATATGTTTCTTCTATTGTCACAAAAACGTGAATTTTGTCTTTATTACATGCGTATAACCACTTCGATTGAACGCGCCCTGAGTACTGAAACAGAATTGAGCGCTACTGTGTGTTGTATCATTGAAACGCTTCTAAAAGAGGGCGCATGTCATTTCTTCAACTATTTATACATATATATATATATAATATTATAAACCATTTATTAGATTTAAAATAATAATAATAATTTTTAAAATCCTATATTTATAGCTTAATAATAAATTATAATTATAATTATAATTATATATATATATGCAATTATAATGAAGATAAATCTATTGATTAATCGATTTTAATGACCTTGTGCAAAGGATATTATTTTAAGCAATTAAAATAATTGCTTTTTCTTGCACAGAACTGGCAGTTTTCGAATTTTTAAAAAACTTTCGATACTATTATATTAAATAATGATTTTGTTTTTTAAGAAGATAATGAAAATTATATAAAATTGATAAAAATGATTGTGAATTATCTAAATTATTTTATTCATTATTAATATAATTTATTAAAATAATCTTATTAATTCATAATATTCAAAGGCAATATTAGAATACGAAAAAGAACAAGCAATTTGGAATTGTAATTTACTTTTTATTTTAGTTTAGTTTAAATTTTTTATATTTTTGTACGTGTGAATAGTATACGTTTATACGTGAATGTGTGTATGTATGTATGCTTGAGTACGTGTAGCTGTGTGCACATATACACATTTATACAATTCAAAAAATGGGTTGTCTAATAAAGTCTAAAAAGGAGTCTTAACATAAGTCTTCGCGTTCCATTTGCAATGGAATAAATTTGCTTGTAACTAAACTTGTAACAAAACCGTTCTTTTAGCAGGATAATCGTGCGCATTAATTTATCGAAACATTTACTAAAAAAAAATATCATATCAACGTTTAATATAAACGTTAAATTATTTTCAATTAAAACGTTATTGCTACAATATTTAAATGTAAAAATAATCATATAACGAAAATCGATTATCGATAGTATTATTTTCTTAAAAAAATAACAAAAGCAATAACTTATGTATGCAATTAGATAATAGATCATTTTTTTTTTTTATAAGTTAATAAACAACGCAAACAACACAATTGCCCACGAAAATCCAGAGTACCAGCGATCACGGAGATCACTTTTGGACCACGTACAACAGTTGTAAAATATATGCTAGATTCTAAAATATGTAAAACTAAAGGAACGATTTTGCTCGAATTTCCCTGTTTTACAGTTCAGAAAGAAACTCTTAAACTTGGATTTGCATCATGTTGTAAAACCGAATTATCATCGTTTCTCTTTTTCTCTCTGCGTAGACTTTAAGCCACTTTCAAATGGTTTAAGCGATTGTTTCAAGGTTATCAACCGTGGATAATAGGATATCTTATTAATAAAGAGGTAGTGAGAACGTTCCGGTTATTGAGTTAACAGTCAACAAGAGAAATCTTTGAGAAGGAAATTCAACATTTAAGACACACTTGGTGGACACACTTATCACCAATTTTAATTAAATTCTCAAAACGTCTTTCGTCACGTATGGAAACGTATCCTCTCGTTCGCTTGAACAAAAACATGCATTTTAAAACCTCGTATATACGTTAGACGTAAATTCGCTCCGCTTTCACAAATATAATATAGAAGTTCTCACTAGTCCTTTTACAAAAAATTATTATCCCATATACCTCGTCTTAATAACTACTTAATAGCTACTTGACGAAAGTCACACACGACTCGGTTTCGATATATTTGAAATGCAGTTTTTTTGTCTCCATAATAAAATATTACTTTTATTACATCTCGTAAACGCCTGTAAGGCCGCGTATGCATAATCACGCTACCATAACGCGAGCACATGCACTGTAGAACTAGTTATTGTACCATGAAAGAATAAATTATTACTCGAATTGGCAAAACGTGCCGATAGATTTATATATGTATATACGTAGATATATTAAGACGCAAGGATAAACAAGTAATTCATACATAGATATCTGTTTTCCTTTTCTTAAATATCGAAGAATGGATTTCTTTTTTTTTTTTTTTTTTTTTTTTTTTCTTTTGTATATTTATTCGAAGAAAATATACTTTTGAAATTTTTCTCTCGTGTGAAGGCCCCGTACAGTCACAAGTGTGTGTTCTAAGTAAAAATTCTGAAAACTAACTTGTTCGAATGTACGAGTGACTTTTCTAGAAAATTAGCTTATATCGGAGGAATTACACGCACTTCGATTTTTTTTTTTTATCAATTTTAATATTAATCTTCGATTTATCCGTACTTAACTCGATCAAACATTTAAAATAATTAAGATTTAAGAAATTGTAATCTTCCAATTCTATGATTAATAATTAATATCTCGATAAATAAATTGCGTCGATTGAGGAAGAATTATAATTATAATATCCGTGTATGACTGTATGATATTGGTAGATTATATGATATAATAGTGGTGCAAATAAATTGGAAATGCATCGTTAGAATTAATAATACACGCACGCACGCACACGCTATGGAAACGGAGGTATTAACCTATTTGTAGCTCGGAAAGTTCATAAAATTCAGGTTCATCATCACAGAAAAGCTATATATATTATATATATATATTATATATATTATATACATATTATATATATATTATATATATTATATACATATATGCCTATTTACATATACATCTTTAAAAATTTTGCATGCACAAATGTACATGAATCTAAAGGAAAGAAAATGGTAACTAAATTGATACGGCTAATCGATTATTACTTAGTTTGCGTTGTTCGATTAATCTCACTTTTTGTCTATTCGATCGACAAAATTAATACAAATGTAGGCATAAAATTAAACGTTACGTTATTGAAATGTGAAGGCGACTTCTGGTTATCAAGATAATTAAACGACATAACAAAATCAACAAAATAACGAAATTATTTAACTAATATATTTTTAACACATGTTGTTGATATATGTCGCATGACTTATATTTACAATGATATCTTTGGCGTTATTTAGAAATAACTTGTCAAATTTTATACGTATAATTGAATGAAAAAGTTTATACGTAAAAAGGAACGTTTTTTTTTTTTTTTTTTTTTTTTTCTTCTTTTTCCTCTTACTTTTTCCTTTGAGAACGTATCGTGAAAAAGTACAAGACGAATTTCGTTTAATCCTAGAGGAGTAAAGACCGGTTGACCGTTTATTAAATTATCGCTTTAATCATTTATCTATTATCCTGAGATTCAAACTTTTCTTAATTATCGATCACGCTTAACGTTAGAAACGATTCGCAAAGTCTGTGCACTTTATTGCTAAAGCAAGCATTATCTTATTTTAATTGATATTACTTTTATTGTGATATCGATTCACTATCTAATCATAAACTTCTGTTCCTCCGTTACATTTTTTTTTTTTTTTTATTTATTTCAACGATTATCAATATTTTTTCAACTTTGAGAAGTTAGCAACGTTTTTTGTCTAACTCTTGTGTAATATCATTATTAGTATGATTATTGAGTTCGCTGAATACAAAGTGAATACAAGATTTATGTAAATATCGTAAAATGTTAATTGCGAACAGCGATCATATGGAATTCATTCGCAATTCGATCAACTTACGTATCGACATAAATCTTGTCAGATCATTCGTAACATTATCTTCGGACATTATCGTTATCAACAATAGATCTCGCTTATTTTTACATCGTTTTAAATCGATCGATCTGTTTAAATATCACGCGCGAAACTTAAAGGACATATAAATCCTTAATGAAAGAAGATATCTCAAAAAACGTTATTTCTTTTCCTTCTGTCTTTCTTTTTTTTTTTTCTTTTTTTCTTTTTCTTTTCTTTTCTAGATGAATTACTTAATTGTCGAGCTTAATTGTTCAATCAACTCGTGTATACGCTATTCTATGAAGGAACCCCACGAACGTTTAATTGAATGTAAAACACGCGACTGATTTTAACACGTATTGCGGGTAAAAGATACCTTGCTGTAAAACTAATTGTACAGGTGCTAATTGCAATTCCTTTTGCTTTGGAAGTGTTATGTATTCCATAAATTCCGTTGAATTGATAAATACATCGATGTACATCGTTATCGACGATCGTAATTTCCTCGAGTATAATCATCTTTAATACTACTAGTCGCCGTTTATTCAAACTCTGTTCATGTTCGCGAAATCCTTATCCGTCTCTTCCTTCCTGGATCCGTTCAAACATTTTCGATAGAGGCTGATTAAAGGCATGGCCAGCAACAGAACTCCGCTTAACGCAATGAAGAAACCGGCCAAATAAAACGACAGATCGTACGTCCCTGTGATGTCGTAAAGCCATCCTGGAACAAACGGAAAACGCGTTTCGTTGGACATCGGTACGTTTCATCAATAGATAAAGAAGGATTGATACGAATAGAATGGAATAGATAAAGAAGCATGCATTTGCTCGAATTTTCTCCAGACTCCAATGAAAGTTTGGCCGTAATTGCACGATCCTCGATCTGGGCCACGAAACTCGAAAATTATTACGTATAATTCATACAGAGTTTCAGAGTTACCGTGGGCGGAGCCACTGTTAATTGAACTTGCTTTTTCGCATATGTGCTAGTTGCATTAAGTATTCGCTCACTACGAATACTACTGTTTATTATTCCGTTATCTAATTTGCAAAATGCTCGATCGCAGGAACTGTGTTAACAAAATGTTGAAAATCATTTTTAACACGAATGTTGAAAAATTTGTTAATTTGTTAAATTGTATATTTTTATTTCATCTCTTACCAGCCAGTGGAGGACCCATGAGATTGGCAACACCTTGTACCAAAAGCAAAAGGCCGTACGCGTTTGTAAATCTTTCGAGCGTGATCAGTTCGACGAGGATGATGCTGGTAAGACTATAATTTGCCCCGATGAATAATCCAAAAGCACCAGAGATTGCGCACAAAGCATAGTAATTGCCAACTACCATAGGTATTAAAGCTGTCACTGCACCACAGAGGGCCATGCACACTGCGTACACGATAGATGCATTTACCCATGCTTTGTCACCTGCCCAACCAAGGAGAATCTGAAAAAAAAAAAAAAAAAAAAGAAAAAGAGAAAGATTTATCTTCTTTAATACCAAAAATTTCGTCACAATTTTTATTTCTCGCATTCTCTGTTAACAAATTATTTTCAATTCCACAGAAATTATTCAAAATATGTATTCGAGAGGAACGAAAATATATATTCCTTTTTACAATTAATACGATTTGCAAATATTCGTAGATTTCTATTCAAGGATGGTTTGATCGTTTTCCTACGCGATATATTCCCAGAATCGATAGAGAGAGGGGAGCAACTTTTCTCAGAATCATTCCTACGTTAATTGTCACCAACACAGAAGTTGGTGTATAACCGTTGCGTGACACCGTCTCAGGGTTAAAGGGAGTTTACAATCAAATGAGATCAGGGAGGGTGAAAGGAAACTAACTAGCCGCGTCACGCTGATTGACCTAAGACGGGATTGACGTAATACTAACCTGTAAGAAGCTTTTCTAGTTTAGCAAGAAAACTCGTTCGATCGTTGCGACATCTACGTTTCTCGTTTGCGTTTTCAAAGATTTGCGGAAGAAGGAAAATTTAATCGCGTCGATTAAATTAGAAACGATTGAACGATTGAAAAAAAATTTAACGTTTTTGAAATATTGAATTTAGCTAAAGAATTGAAACGATATATTACGACATATAAAAAGATTGATGTACAAAGATTTTTGCAAGGTTAGAAAATGGAAAGGTCTATCGATTGTTGCATAAGCGGTTAGTGGATTTAATTTGAACATCATTTTCGAAGCCGTAGGAACGTTCAAAGCGATTAGCTGAATTTTCAGAAATATCACTCGTTAAAAAGAAAATATCGTTTCAGGAATGATGTCTTAACGAATCGGTAAGCGGAAATAATCATTTCTTCACTGGCCGATGAACAGCGGTGAGGCAAACTTAATATCGGAACACCAATAAAGCAACAAAGTAATAGCGCAAAGGAGAACCCAGTGAACAATAAACATCGATATTTGGAATTATCGGTTACATTCGGTTGAAGTGACACGATCGGTATCAAGTAATAAAGCCATTTTCTTGATTTTCAACTATCACGATTTCAAAATTATTAGCAAACGAAAGTGGAAACGAAAAGAATAAAACACGATTATTACGAGTAAAATAATTTTGGAAATGGAAATAGAATAAACGAATATATCACGAGATATTGCCACTCTCGTAATGTACGTAAGAATATTTCATCATTCTACGTAGACAACATCAATTGAAATTCTGAAAATAGCCTAATTCTTGCAGAAGACGCACGCTTCGATCGCTTTCGAGAAAGATTTCACCGATGATCCGTGTTAAAAGAATATTCGAAAATCGGATGAATAATCGATAAATCAACGTAATTCTTAATTTCACATTTCGTTAAACAAAGATTTTGTTAAAGAACGATCCTTACCTCGCCACTCATATTGGATATCCCTATAACCGATATCAAGATGGAGGCATCGGTTTCGCTGAATCCCATCTCGATCGCGTTGTCCGTCAAATAGACGTAGGGGACGTCGTACCATGTGTGAAGGAGGAAATTGCTGATAGCGAAGAGCAAGAAGCGGGAGTCTGCGAAATGGGAGAAATCGAGCATGTCGACGACTAGGTCCCAGAACTCCCACAGGCCCGCGTACCACACGAGCTTGGTCTTGGCTATGGTGGTCATCGAGTTCCTATAAATATCCGGACAACTGGACGCCCTGAGTCTGTATCGATTTATATTGAGCATAGCCCCTCTGTAGGTGAGGCTGTGCCTGTGCACTCTGATATCCTTCAAATAAGCGGTGGGCAATCTCCTCGTATGGTCGAAGGTGCTGGATCTTCTCAACGAGCTGTCCAGATTGATCTTCTTCGACCACCACAGCCGCCAAGCGGCGTCCGTTTGCTGTTGAAGGGTTTGCTCGTCGTTGGCCGGCACCTTACCCTCATCCTTGTTCTCCTCGCTCTTCAACTCGGACAGGGAGCTGGGGGTGGGCACGAATCGGGCCGAGGGTGTGCTGAGCTGGTCGTGAAGGGGCCCCGAGTCGCTGAAACTTCTCGAGGAGATGAGCAAGCTCGGATAATTTTGCAGCAACACGTTGTACACGTTCTTACGCGTGCTCAGAAGTTCCAATACCTCCAACGGCACCTTCTCGCTGTTCTTCACGAACGTGGGCAAGCTCACCAGACTGGAGAACAGCTTCTCGTCGTCCTCCTCCTTCTCCTGAATCCGAAGATTATCCATGATCGTGAGAGTGTTGAGCGAGCTGTTGGCCGAGAACGAGTCCACGCTCGAGCTCTGTATCCTGCCCCTCTTCCTCTCCCGATTCTTCCGCCTCTCCTCGGTCTTCGCCTTCGCCCTGATCGTCGTCCACTCAAGATCCCTCATCAGGCAGCCGCACACGGCCAGGTTGAGGAACAGGCCTGCCAATATCAACGTGGTTCCCCGCCAACCGTACTCGGCGAGCAGGTACTGGGTGACAGGGGCGAATATGAACGTTCCTATACCGCTTCCGCATACGGACAACCCGGTGGCGAACGATCTCTTCTTGTCGAAGTAATAGGCGACTATGACCACGGCTGCGACGAAGCACAGGGACAAACCGAAACCGGCGAGGACGCCGAACGTGAATATCAAAACTTCCATCGAGTTCGCGTAAGAGCTGACGACGAAGCCGGCCGTGGCCAGGATGCTCCCCGCTATGGACACCCTCCGACAACCGTATCTGTCCGTGAGGAAACTTGCCACGGGGCCCGACAACAGCGGCATCGCCATGAACAAGCTCCCTATCCAGGCGGTCTTCGACTTACCCTCCCCGAAATAATTGAGGAACTCGACGTAGATGACACCGAACGAGAACGTGATACCGTCCGCTATCAGGTTGACCATGAACGAGGCCGCGACCACCACCCAACCCCAACCGCCGTCGGGCGGCGTGGCCTCGCACAATTGGCCGAGGCTCGAGTTGTCGTCCGAGCTGTTGGTCGTCGAGGGTGGGATCAAGGGGCTCGACTGGGGCCTCTGCGTATCCCTCGACTGCTGCCTCTTCGAGTCTTTGTTGAATTGCACGTGGTGCTGTTGCCTGTCCTCTCGCCCCAGCTTACCGTTCACCAATTTCTCCATGCTCTTCTGGGACGAGGATTGATTCTTGGACAGGATCTTGGTCGGCGAGGCGAAGATCGAGTTCCTCTCCGCGAAAACGCTTTTGCGCTTTGCCGGGCTTTCGACATTCTTATCCTTGTTGTACAAACTGTCCGGCTTCTTAGCCGAGTTCTTACGTGACGATTCGTTCGCCAACTCGTGCCTCGCTTCCTCCCGTATCTTCGACCCGGCCTCCTCGTAACCCACGTTCAACGCCTTCCTGTCCAAGCAATTGCGAATTTCCTCGTCCCTCTCGGTCGCGATCGAGTTCACGTAGCTCTGATCGTTGATAGATTTCGACGGTTCCTCGGACAGGATCCCGATTCGATCGGAATTCTTCCTCTGCCTCGACGACGAGCTCGACTCGGACGCGTCCTCGCTACCCTTCCCCGACCCCGCCGCTCCAACCGGCGTCGCCTCCTGGGGGATTCTGTTCGACGTGGAACACCCTCTCCCCCTCTCCCCGTCGCTGCTTCTCCGCGCCGCGCTCGCCTCCACGCCCCCGCCCCCCTCCTCCCCCGCCTTCTTCCTCGACGATCGAGTCGGCTTCTCCTCGCCGTTGAACTTGGCCCACTCGGCCATGATGATGCCTGAGACGACCAAGAATAAGGGAGGAGAGCCCGCTGTTCAAGCGCAGTCCTCCTCGACCGGCCAACGCAACGACATCGAATCTAATTCTTCCTTCCACCCCTCTCGTCCACTACTACTACTACTACTACTACTACTACTGCCGCTACACCGATCAGAGATCGACGATACGCGCTTCTCTCCGCTCTTCTCCCCTGCCCTATTATATCCTTTATCCTTTCTGTTGCCTCGCCTCTTCTCGTGGCAAGCACTCAACGATAAAACACGGGCACCGCTGGAAAAGAAGTATTCGTCATATCGCGAGGGGGAAACGCGATCGATTGTTCAAAACTGATCTAGTTTCGTCCTTGATTTGAACAACGGTAAACCCGGCCACTCGTAGAGCTGTCTAGTGAACTGGCGGCGCAACGGCAACAAGGACGATACGCGCGAATCGGCAAAGTTCCTGGTGGCGAAACACTGGTGGTGTATCGCGTCCGGGCCGCAACCATCGCAAACGTGGCCCAGTATGCGGGACGCTTTCCTTCTTCTCGGGCCCTGGATAATCGGGACCGCCTCCTCCGCCGCGAAACGATCGTCAACCCAGGCACCCATACGGCGAACGGTACTGCTTCGGCTCTTGCGGTGTATTCTGCGAACGAGAATAAAATATGTGTGTAATTCGCTGCGTTCGTCCATATTTTCGTTCCTTTGATCCTTTTTAATTCTGCCTAATTCTGCATAATGAGCTTGTGGAGATATTGAGAAAAATTAATTTTTTTATTGTTTTGGAAATATTGAGGAAAATTAATTTTTTTATTTTTTTAGAAATATCGAGGAAAATTAATTTTTTGAAAATATTAAGGAAAATTAATTTTTTTATTTTTTTGGAAAGATGGAGAAAAATTAATTTTTTTATTTTTTTAGAAATATCGAGGAAAATTAATTTTTTGGAAATTTACTTTTTTGAAAATATTAAGGAAAATTAATTTTTTTATTTTTTTGGAAAGATGGAGAAAAATTAATTTTTTGGAAATTTACTTTTTTGAAAATATTAAAGAAAATTAATTTTTTTATTTTTTTGGAAAGATGGAGGAGAATTAATTTTTTTATTTTTTTGAAAAGATGGAGGAGAATTAATTTTTTTACTTTTTTGGAAAGATGGAGGAGAATTAATTTTTTTATTTTTTTGGAAAGATAGAGGAGAATTAATTTTTTTACTTTTTTGGAAAGATGGAGGAGAATTAATTTTTTTACTTTTTTGGAAAGATGGAGGAAAATGTATTTTTAAATAATTTTATTTGAAAGTTTGAAAGTGCGAAATTTTTAAATCGAAATCTAATTGGTTGTATTCGTTCGAATTTTATTTAAATTTATCAAAGATATTATTAATAATTATTATTAATTTTATCAAGATACGAAGAGTATTTTATTTCAATCCATCTAATAAGAGGACGTATTCTCTCGTTCGTCCTCAAGTTTAACATTTTATCGTTCAATGAAACTTATTTTTTCGATACTTTCGTTCGATCACGGGTTATAAAAACTATCTTCGCGCGCGAATCGATGTGTCTTAAATTGAATATTTCCATTTCTTGTTAATATTCTGTAACGTTATATGCACTCGTGATAGAAGATTAATAAAAAACTAAAACATGGATCGTATCGAATTTCTTCAAATTATAATTTTATTATAACGTCTAATTATATATATATATATAATTAAGATTAAATACAGATACAGTTTCTAATTATTTTTAATCAACACAGATATAATCTCAAGCAGGAGATCGTTATAACGTTTAAACACTATAAAATAAACGAAATAAATTCATTAATTTATATGCATCTGTATCTTGAGTGTATCTCTGTAACAATGAATTTTCAATTGCAACTACTTGTTCCAGAATCACGTTAAATTATTTCAATTTTATGCTCGATTACATTCGTCATGCTTGAATTAATTTCGAATTCATTTATTCGAATCGTTATTGATCGTTCGGCGTCCATCGTTTTTTTTTTCTTTTTTTTTTTCGTATTAAAAGATGCAACCAGTTTAAGTACACTCAAATGCACACAAATACAAATATATATATAATATAAAAAGAAGTTCGTCTCGTCTGACCTTGTTTTCAAGTTGCACCCGTTTTTATTGTCCCGCCCGCTTTGTACAATACTCATCACGCTTGATGCGCGGAGGAGCATCATCGATTGCTAATATTCAAATGAGATCAGCCACGCTGATTAATTCGCGACGAGTCGAATCGAACAACAAGCGTACTTTCGATCGGAGAATTATTAAGGTTAATCTGATGGAAATACAGGTGATAACGCGGATATTATCGTATTTTCGTTATTAATTTCGAAAGTAAATTTTTCGTACGCATTTCCGTTTTGTTCTCCGTTTTACAAATGAAAGTTCGTTTCTTGACCAAGAATAAGAATAAATGAGCATCATTTTCGTTTTTACATTTAAATTCGTAATTACTCGACAATGGTAACTCAAAAGATAAAACTATGAAATATTCAAGTTTCAATTATCCCCGTTGCAAAAAAAAAATGTTTCTAATTGATTTTAAAACTTTCAAAAGAATTTCTCTAAATTGCTTCAACGCACACGAAAATATCCCATTAAAATAAAAATTTCGTTGCGGGATTAGTATTATTTTTGCGACTGACTATGAAACAGAATTTTCAACAACATTAATCGAAAATTCGATTGAAACGATCGTGGACACAAATTGGCTGCAATCACCATTACGAAAGATCGGTACAACGAACAAAACAAGCGGAAAAAAACTCTCTCAACGAGGAAGAAACAACATTTTCCATTGAATTTAAATAGTTATGCACGTATATCTATTTTCAAATCCAATTCATCAAGACGAATGTCGTGGAAAGTTGAGAAGAAGTCGCCCCGTAAACGCGACGAGCAAGTTGAGAAATATGTCGATCAAAGGTTTAAAGGTTGGATGTCAATAATAAAGCAGATTCGTCATAAGCATACGAATTCTCACGTCGTCTCTTTCTTCGAATTCGACGTTTGCCAGAGAGGCGGCGTTGTCGTTGAGATTTGCTTCTGCCACTTCGTAACTAGCCGAAGTAGCTCGAATTAGAGTCGGCGATTATAAATGAAGTTCATTGTGTATGAGTTGCTATCAATTTAACAGTGGCCACGATGATCACGTGCGTATCTTGCGATCCCCTGGTCTTTCCTTCCGCCAGTTCTTCTTCGTCTCACCTTCTTATCCTTCTCCCCTCCTTTTCTCTCCCCTTCTTTTTTACACGTGTTCCACTGTAAATCGATTTATCGCCATTTTGTAGGCGCGCCTTTCGCAAAAATCTTATCTTCGACGCCACGCTCTGACGCTTCGTTTCGACAACGCTGCGTGCAACGTTATTGTCACAACTCGGGCAAATTTTAGATTGTTCGGCCAACTGTGAATACCGAAATACCTGATACACGTGGAATTGGAGCACGGAACTCCGCGCCATCGATATCAGATCTTGAGAATTAAGGCACGTTTTGGATGGGAGGTGTGGCACTTTTCATTTGTGCTCGAGAAATGAATTGGTTAGGATTACTGTCTTTTTGAATTTTGGAATTGATTCTGCTTGATCGGGGTTCGTCGAAAGAAAGATTTTGTAAGAAAAACATAGAACATGGAAGAATTAAGAAACGAAGTAATTGAATATTCGGAAAAATTGTACTTTAGGATGTTTCGAAAATTTAAGAATTAAGAAATTTTTTTTAGAAAATCGAGATAAAAGAAGTAGGTGAAGTGAATAAAATATAATAAAATAAATTTAATTTGATAAAGATAATTTTAGAATTAAAATTCTTCGAGAAAATGCACATTTCGATTGAAATGTAAATAATTCTGTATTCGTTTAAATAATATTATTATTGGAATGTTTACTTTATCGAATTAATTTTATTTAATTTTATTTTCACACAACGGATTTTGATTCATTGTAACGTAATTCGTATTGATTGAAATTATTAATTAATAATAACGCTGAGGAGAAAAGAATAAACCACGAATCATTTTCAAACGTATGCGCCATTCAACACCGTATCATATAATTATAATCATAAATAATCGCGTTATGATACGTAATTAACGCGATACAAATATACGTCATTTATCGTATAAATAATAAATGATTTATCTATCTATATATAAAATACAAAAAATTATTTATCATTTCATACAAAATAATAACTTTCCTCTATAAAACATAATTTTTCCATTTTTAAATAATAAATAATATATATTATATATATTTAAAAAAATTAATAAAAATTAAAACATCCTATCTTTCATAAATCAATATGAAAAAATTTTTTCCATTGTGTATCTATCAATGATACTTTTTTCTTCTTACTCGTATTCATTTGAATATCCAAAGATCAGAATATAAACCAGCCATAAACCAATCATTGATATTTAAACCGGATTCTTAACGAAGCTCTAAAGCTGTATTGAAAGGAAAATCGCACGGATACCTCCTCTTCTAATTCGTCAAAATAATTGTAGGTTTAACACTGACCTCGATCCAAAGGAAGAAGGCGATTTACTTTTTGCGCGAACCTTATGCTATCTTAATAAGCGGCTCGCACGTAAACCAGGAAATTTGTAGCTCGAACGGATCCATAAAGCAGCTGCGTCATTTACAGAGGACGAATTTTTCCTTATATTTCGTAAGAATAATATTAAGAAAATCACTCTTTTATAACATCTCTATAACATTGGAAAAATTAAATAAAATGCGAATCGTGATCATTCAAAATTGCAATTCGTTGATCTGAATTTTTACCTGTTGTTGATATCTTACTGAGATCAACGTATTTGTATTTCTTCTTTTTTTTTATCTGGCGCATTTATATACCTTGATAAAAATAAAATGATAACAACAATATAAGGAAACATATCGTGTATTTAATTCAAATATCGTTTCGCAAATTCTATTTTGAATATAACTACGTCGATTCGAGCGATAAAAACAATTTTGAAAATAATATAGAATAATTACATTAGTTATGATGAAATTACTATCCTAATCTTAATTCTTCGACTATTTACTTTTCCACTTATAATCTTATTTTATCGCTCTATTCTCATTTTCTCGCCAATATATAATTTATAATTATTTTTAAATATCCTCAAACTCGAAAATTTCGATATTATTTCACGACTATTCTATTACCGTCATACTTACGTACACGCAGTCAGAATGCAACAATGCACGACAGAAAACGTGGAAAATTAACGAGCCTCAATTATAGAATAACGCCAAGTTGCCAATCCAAGCAAAATAGGGTGAAATGGATGGAGATTCTTCTGATTCTGGCGTTGAACCCGTGGAAATTCGTTCGAGTTTTTAACACGCGCAACGTTCGAACCAATTCTTAAGTAAAAAAAGCTTACTTATTATCTTAATTAGATTAACGATCTCGGGAGTGAGAAAACGAAGAGAAGGAAAAAGAGAAAATGTTACGTAATCGTGCTTTGTAAGTCGTTTGCTGTGTAATCAACTTTAAGGAGTTCTTTCCCCGTAGGGAATTAACGAATCAACACTTTGGATATAGAAAACTGTGCAATTCGAATGGAGATAAAAGAAGAAAGAGATAGAGGGGGGAGAGGGAGAGAGAGAGAGAGAGAGAGAGAGAGAGAGAGAGAGAGAGAGAGAGAGAGAGAGAGAGAGAGAGAGAGAGATTATTCCTTTTTAAGTATGAAGAGTGAAGAATAAATTGAGCAAGATATATGATTTTATTTGAAGGAATAAAGCCAATGATCTTGAAATCTTTGGAATGCCTCCACTTCCGGAACGCGCCATCCGAAGCCATTTATTTTTTTTAACAGCTGTAATTTGTTTCGATCGTTCCAACCGTTTTAAAAATTATATATCTTTATTCGTGCGAAAGACCCTGTACGATTATACTATAGTCGAATTTAATTCAAAGATAAGATTAAATTTTAAAGATGAAATTAATAATTGTAATATCTTTCAATAGATTAGTATAATGCTGAAAAAAAATTAAACTATCCTATCAGTTCTAAATTCTAATACTGAAATGGAAAGATATATTAAAAGAGACTTAAATATGAATGTTTATAAAAAATGTGAATTTTCTAAAATAAAAAAGAAATGTATATATATGTGGATAATAATGCTTAACGAAAAGATACGATCGAAGAATTTCATTTAAAATAAATACGTAAAAAAAATAAATATAGGAATAGAAGTAGAACGGTGAAAAGGAAGTACGATGTAGCTGTTAAAAGTGCCTAACGTATCGCGACAAAATGCTCAGTCTGAAGCGTTTACTTTTCAGAGGCTACAAAAGATATTTTAATACGCATGCTCTGACCGAGTATGATACAAAAGAATGTTTTGCTTTTGTTGCAAAGGAACGTTTTAGACTGAACGAATCGCAGACTATTAAAATCAGATGAAAAATACAAATATTTATTAAAATCTATAAATGATATTTGATAAAATAGTCTTTTCAATCAATTTCGAAAATAAAAAATTTCTATTAATTGAATCGTATATAAGAAAATTATTTTTACTCGCTTAATTATTTATAACTCGATTGATATTTGATATATATTTTCATGAGCAGAAATTCTATTTCTATATTTTTCTTCCTTTGAATATAAAATATAATTTTTCCTCGTACGACAATATAACGAGAATATTTAACACACATATTTGTAACGATTATTGCACAAAACGATTCAAGATCAAAAAATTATAAAACAAAGTTATAAAACAACAATCACTGATAAATAAAAGAATTTAACTTTGTCAACAAAATTGCTTTCGATTTATCGTTTTATTAATAATATATTTATGGCCTTGAATGATTTTATGGGATAGGTCATTGAACTTAATCACTCGATGCTATTATTCTATGCTGATTTATCTAATCTAACCTACATTCGTTGAATTAAACGTACCTTAACTGGTACTATTCGTTCTAAAATTATAAAAAATTTCTCTTTAACTAGATCTTAATTTATATTAAAATAATGTTCATTATTTTTCATATAAATTAAATGTATGAACAAAAAATTAATTCGACAAAAATGACATAAATATAAAACAATTAACTTACAATACTCTTTATACGATACGATATAAGATTTTATTAAAAAAAATGAGGTTGACCTTGACCATCCACCCACGGACCAATTTGTTTCCAGTGTATTTAGAAGCAGCTAACAACCATAGAATAAATTTTCAGTTCAGTTATTTCGTATTCAAAGATTGACTGCTTTTGCAAAGATTGACTAGAGTAATAGTAAAGATTTTAATAATGGTTTATGTCCCATAATTTAACTCGATTCAATAGATCGGTTAATTTTCCTAATTGAAAGATTTAGAAAACTTAATGATTCACGATCACCGTTCCGGGAAGCTACGAACCACGTGCTTCTGTTTGGATGACAGTCAATCAGTTTATCAAATGGAATGGCCAACATTTGACCCGGAAACTATGAACCTTCGTTATCAGTGTGCAAGGAGAACGAACTCGTGGTACCACGTGCTGCCGTTTAATAATCGCCTACCGGGTTTTATTACGCTAAAAAGAATATATATCGATCTTGTGTAGTACACGTCGTGTAGATTTCGAAGAAATGTCGATGACAATCATATACGTTTGCTAGATGCCACAATTACGCGATCGAAAATGCTTGAATAAATTGCACATGAATTTTCATATATTTAATTTTGAATTTTCAAATATTTGATTAAAAATTTGACAATCTAAATAATATTACAAAGATATTTTTTTTTATTTATTTACATTGTATTCCGTATGAAATATCATATTAAGAATTTTTTTAATAAATTATTAAAAGTGAAAAAAATTATTTTTCGAATTAAAAAAATAAAGTTTTTGAAAAATAATAAAGAAAACATAAAAGAAGCGTATATCAATTAACGGAAAACGAGATTATTATTATCAATGTTAGATACTGGTCACAATGTAAAGAGATACATTAACCTGGTATAAAATTAGATCTTTGATAAAAGAAATTGTACTCCATTTTATTTCATAAAGCTTTTGTTTCTCATAAATAAAAATACGAAGAAACTAATCGATTTATATTTTATTGTAATAGATATAATTAACTTTATTCGAATATACAAAGCAATTACTATTTTTAAATTTGTTTGTTGAATTATATGTATTTTGTACTTTTGTACAAAAATAATTTATAAAGTATGTTATAGTTTTGTGGCAATGACAATGACATTGAACCAAAAATATTCATAAACAAAGAGAAACATACCATGACGCAGCGACACTTGTTCTTCTAATCCTTGTAAAAATCACAATAGCAGTTTCGATTCTCGAAAATATCAAGATGTTCTCATTTGCCAAAACATTTACAACACATCACGTATCATCATCTTATATTTCACAATATCAACTTTAAATAGTCTCGCATATGATAAAATTTAAGTTGATCTTCTACAATTCATTCAAATTTTATCGGGTCGAAAACGCTCGAGATTAATTTGTTTCTTAAAAATTCTTCAATTCATATAAATTTTTTAATATTGGACACTTTTGTATGATTATTTTTTATACATAAAAATAGTTAATAAATTCAAATTTTTAAACAAAAATTACTGATAAATGTTTAAAAAAATTTTCTCATAATTTTTGGTTATCCGATTAAGATTTCTATATCTTCATCATTTTTGATAGATTTTTAAATCATCTTAAACAGAATGTTAACTTAATGCAACATAGAATTGCAGAATCAATCGATCGTTCTTATTTAAGATCAAGTCCCGTTGAACAATTTTTTGACATCCTGCGAAATCCTGTCGTCATCATGGATGCAACAATATGACACATTTCACGAAATTTCAAAAAACACTCTTAATTTCACTAATTTTCCATTATACAAAGATTTTATTTGATTTTTATTGCAAGAATGATGTTTAAATAAGATTTCTTAGATATCAATCCAAGATTTTCCGACTCTTTTATCTTTTCTTGATACATACGTACGCATATGTACGCACATGCACACACATATAAAATCGTACCGTTAATATCCGTCCATTTTCATCGGGACTATTTCTGTTACCAATGACCGATCGAACAGACTGTTTTGTTTACTTCCAGACCGTTATGAAAAACAAGCGTATATCCGGACTCGTTCGCTGACAGAAGCAAAGGACGAGAAAGGAAAAAAAAGACCGGTTATTCGATACGGCTTCGCGAATGACTTATTTCAAATGGATTACACGAGTTGTGTAGAAGAATTACGCGAATAAAACTAATTTAATTCGGTTATTTATCTTTACGTTGCAACACGATTCATATTCCGCACGTATATTTTTTACGTAATATCAACAATCACTGGACATTTTCATCAACGATTGTATATAAAAGATTTTAAACATAAATCAGAAGATACTGTTCGTTTACACTGACGTTATTGCCGCAACAATAAAAGTTATTAATAATCTTCTATCGATTAACCGGTTAAACAAGGAAGAGAATAATCAAACATTCGATTGTTTCGACAAATCGTATCTTGGAAAAACACTTTTCTTTTTTCTTTTTTATCTTTTTTATTTCTTTATTATTAATTAATGCTGTTAAAACAAGTGTCAACGTTTTAAAATTATTTTACTTCTCGATACTGTTTTTGTTCCGGTTAACCTCACTCTATCACATCGAAGTCTCGTACGCGTAAAAGTTCGTTTTTCTCTAATGAAATGGTCGTAACGGTGTCGCGTAGAGCGCCTCGAGTGCGCACATGAGGACGGCCGAACTAATACTGATAGCTGGCAATGCTTTCGCCAATGCATACGACTGTTGCCTCCAAGATACGAAGTTCTTAGCCTCTGCTCTTACCCGCGTCTTTCCTTTATATACAAATGCGCTTTCTGTACGATCATCGGGGAACCACGCGTTAATAATACAATAATTTATTGATAATCTCTAGATAATAAAAACACTTTTATTTTTTATTATTTAGTAAATCATTATAGTCATATGACAATCATATTTTTTTTTTTTTTAATACCAAATTTTTTTTCGATCGTGAATATTGATATTTATTTTATTTTTTTAGATATTAAATTTCTTTTAAATGCAAATTTTTTATATTTTATATATTTCCTTAAATTATATACAAATTTTTCTTCTTTCTAACATATGAAACAATGAATAAATAATATTATCATTTCTCTCATAAATGCCGATGATATCTGTTTATACATTATTAATATATACAATTATATTTTTAAATAATGAAAATGTTTTCCAATGCGCAGCATTTTTTATTTATCAAGAAATTAAATTATCTCATAAATAAAAACGCGTAATTTCCTTAAATGTTAAATTTTTCTATTAAGAATTTAAACGCATTCGTGGAAAAATCATTCTTACGCAAGATGATATTGAATATTTTTTCCTGATTTATATAACATTTTTCCTTTAATTATATAGAACTTCCCTTTTAGAAATTAACATTTTAAGAATATTTTAATACCGACGGTTGCATCTTTAAAGCTTTGTTTGATAATTTTATCTGATTTCATAGGAAACGTGTCGATAATTACAAATTATGATCATTTATACAAGATGAATGATAAAATTTAGCATAATTGAAAAACAAATTAAGTCTTTGTTTTTTGAGAGCAAATATATATACAATTAAGGAAAATTTTCAAAGTCAATTTTCTTGAAAACTTTTATTTAAAATTTTTAAATTTATTCTATTTTTGTTTGTTTTCATTGTAAAAAATAACCACGTATATAATAATATCTAATCAAGAAAGAGCTAATTTTAATTTTCATATTTTTTTATCTGAAAATTATTGAAAGTTGAAAATAAATATATAATTCGGTAAAAATGATGGAAACATTGCGTAAAATGTAAAAATATGGTCAACGATGCAGAAATTGCAATTACGACACTTTGACATTTGGTAACCAAATGTTTTTATATATAAGCTATTTATAAAATCCCTATAAAAATCCCTTACAAATATTTTTCCTTTATATTTGAATTTGAGTAAAATGTTATGAACTCTTTGAATATACTAAAATTAATTAAATAATTTTACCAAAGCTAATTTATATATCCTTGATAAAGTAAAAGTGCTCTTTGAACAAATTTGTCATTCTAGAAATATTATTATCACCTGTATCTATTATCTGTACCAAATAAACAAGATAAATCCTCAACATAATTTTGAACACATCTCCACTATCATCATTATTTACGCTGCTTTTGGATTTTTTGATCTTTTTTTATCGTTTTAAGAAAAATAGTAAATCGTGTCAAAAAATGTCTTTTTCAATCGTTTTAATAAAAATATTGTATCGATATTTTATCCGAAATAAAACTTGAAATCGAAAATTAATAATGTAACGAACGAAGAAGGATCCGTCGAAAGATATTTTAGAAAAATATTGAGAAATAAGATATCTTCGTTTTTAATTCAGATCTTCGAGTTTCTTGAAACTGATTTCACATGCAAAACGTCGAACTAAGTTGTCACGAGCTCGAGACAAACGACTTATTTGCCGGGAAAACTTATCAAGCTATATTTAAATTTCATACCTGAGAAAACTCGAAAACAATTCACAAAATTTTTTCCAATTTTTATATATTATATCCAAAAAACAATTAGAGTATATAGTATATAGAGATTATAAAGATAGAGTATATAAAGATTTTTTTTTATATTTTGAATAAAAAAAACTTTTAAATCGACATATACCATTGTACACAATGAAATTTTATTTGAAAAAATTTATTTTTCTGTATAATCGATTTATGAACGTGATATTATTTAAACAAATAATGCAAATGGATACAAAAATTTTACAAAAATTTTATATTATCGTTCAATAATTAAATAAATTTTGTGAAAGAATATCACAATGATGATTCGTAATATCGTAATATTCGTAGAATAGTATTGTAAATATAATACGTAAATATAATACGTATGAAACATATTATACATCTGTTGAATAAATCTATACGATTTCATGTCAAATATTGAAATATACAAATATGATTTTATTTCTTATTTATTTATCTATAATCTATATTATTTATTAATTTACTTATTTTCATTCTTTTCGATGAATTAATATTAAAAAATACGAAATATTTAATAATAAAAATATATATACGAAAAAAATTTAAATAACCATGAAGATTAATATATTTGATAATTTTATAATTCAATGATTATATAAATAAACTATTTGTAAAAATATTACGTAATCATAAATGACATAATCGTAAATTTCGGCAAACTTTTGCGATGTAATCGAATAAACAATTTGTAAAATATAAATAAATAAGAAAGTGAGAAAGAATATTATACGTTACATATTATTAAAATAAACATTTAAACTTGAAAATTTACACAGTGTATATCTATATTTCGTATCTGCATTATTCATTATTTATCGTTATCGTGGATAAAGATATAACAATTTTATAAATATATATTTCATAGTCAATTTCAATAGATTAATTACAAAAAAAAAAAAAAGAAAATATAATAGAAAAATAAAGTATATATAAAAAAAAAAAGTAGAAAAAAATATTGAAACGATATACGAACAATAGATATACAACAATTAGATAAAAAAAGATAATAATCTTTTTATCAATATTTCAATATTTGTTGAGTTTTAACAATATAATGAGAAAAAATTTTCGATAATATAACGTTATTAGATTTAAAAAAATATATGATATATAAATAATTATTCAAATAATGTAATAAATTACATATAATGATTAAATTAATTTTGAATTAAAAGTTAAAATAATATACGAATAATATACTATGTGAAATTAAAAAGAAATAAAAATTATCATCATTCGATTTCATCTACTAATGTAATCGTTATATCTATTTATAATCGTTTTCGATTTAACAAAAGTATATCTACTTATAATAATATAGAATAGTCTCGATAAAAGGTTAAAAGCGTGATAAGATAAATCGTGGCAGCGAACTTTACTGATCATTCCATAATTTTCCAATACCTATACAAAAATTACCTATATAATTTCTGCGATGAGCAAATAATATTCGCGTATTTATAATAATAAAATAATATTTCATCGATATTTCGCTTATGAATAACGATTCCATTGATGAGTCATGGACTCAGGACAAATATGTCGAGAACCGTGAAACTTTTCTTAGCAATTTTAATTTTCCATCGTCGCAAATGCACAATAAGCGTGATAAATGCGAAAGATGTTTGTAAGACCGAAAATTACTTAAAATATGAATAATTAAAATTGTGGATGATAAATAAAAAAATTTCTAAAATTTCACGTCTTACGATTGTGAAAATTCTATGAAAATTCTAACAGAAATTTATCTATTCTGAGTTTTGAGATTGGACCTTTTACAACATTCTTATTACATCATTATTACATTACAAAAAAAAAATCTATATTCTTAATTAATTTGACATTATCACACGAGGGGGAAACAAAATTCATCGAAACTAATCATTTAATCTTCAAAAACTTATAATATCAATCGTACACTTTGGCGCCATAATTAAAAATATATTTCTATAAATATAAAATTCTGCCTTTTAAGATGAGAATGGCCTTAAAATAAAAGTGATTTGAATGAAGTAGATTTATTAGATGCGCATTTATTAGATGAGCTTTGGATTTTTTCCAAAATTAAAAAGCATACGAAACAACAACAATCCTGAATATTATATCTTATAGGAGTCCAAGCTTTAAATAATTAAAAAGAATTCAAGCGCATAATCTCTCTTTCCTCCTTTAACATAATCCTCAATTTCCCTTACTCTATTAATTCCAATTAATTTTCGAAAGAAAATATCCGATTGGATAAAGTGATATTTATCTTAATATATGTGCATATAATGAACAATTGTATAAAACTGTAAAATCTATAAAACGAAATCTATAACTTGAATTTTGTCAATTTTACTTTTTTAATCTTATACTTATAATTATTTATCTTACAATTTTTTTTTTTTACAATCTTTATACTTCTTTATCTTATATTACATAGAATTCGAATCAAAACGAATATATTTTCATCCATTTTTTCATTAACTTGCTTGACTCGTCCAATATTTCAAGAGATTAAGAATATTTCAGAAATTGATCGGTTCAACTTCTGAATGATTCAAAAAACAAGATTATAAAATCAAAAGATTAACATTTAATCTGTAATAAATTTGAAAAAAAATCGCGAGAATCACGCTATAAGTGAGAAATACATGTTTTTCCTTTACACGTGAAATTCTTAGGGGATCGAAGAATCGTGTTTTCCAAAAATCTGAAAATTGCGATTCAACGAAACGTGTTGTAACACGATGAAACATAATTAAGCCATGGCAACAAGAGAACGTTAGAAACATTTAAAAAAAGACTCTTCCTTGTCGAGAAAGAACATGAATATCCCTCGAGATCCCTGCATTGCGGATCTTCGTATCGCACGGGACACATTGTTACATCGTGATCGTCTTTTTGTTCATGAAAAATGAAAATCGCGAACAATTTTCAGAATTGGTCGAAAATTCGATAATAATATCGTATTAATAATTCGCGACTTTTAGATTTTTTTTTGTATGTTTTTTCACTTTTTTATTATGTATCCATTATACAAATAATTCTTGTACGAAATTGATAAAAATACAGAAATAAGTGAATGAATTGACCCAAGTTGAATGAAATTGACCCATATAATCAAAGTTGATTTATTTGAGTGATCAAATTATTATGATTATGAATGGAAAATTAAAAAATGTTATATTAAAAATTGTTAATAATTTTTGAATTTTAAAAAACTTTTAAAACTTTCTTCTTATTAAAAAAATATTCTATTTCACTTGAAAATTATATTATAAATTTCTCTAAGAGAATTTTAAACGATATTTAAATTTTTTAAACGAAGCAAAACTACCATAATTTATTATAGAAAAATGAACATTTACAATTTGCAAATTATGAAGATATATTTTTTCTTCTACTAATTAATATGCAATATATAATACAAAATATATATATATATACTATATTATATATTATATATTAATTATTGGAAAAAAAAATATCTGGATCAAAGACGTGCTTTTTGCATAATTACGTCAATGATCGTATTAATAAAATTTCAACAATAATTATTCAAATAAACTTAAAATAGTTATTATTTCTTTGTGTCGAAAAATATTAAATAATAATATTAATTCTTTACAATTCTAATGTTTCTAAAAAATTTCTAGATAATGATACAAAATTACATATATTTTTATTTTTATATTTAATTATATTACAAATAAATTAAAAAAAATGTTAAAAAAAATTTGACATTGAAAAAATTTAATTTCTAACAAAAAAAAACTATATGAATAGATTCTATTTCTATCAATATTTTTATAAGATTTAAAAGATTCAAAGATATGATAAAGTGATGAATCACAATAAAAAATCATACATTACCAGCTAGTAGTAATAATCCATGAATGAAGAATCATTAATTTCTAACCTAATCACATCTAAATCATTAAATAGAATCTATAATGGAAAAAATGGAAACATTAAATTTTTTAAAAAATGATAAAGTATCGAAAAATTAATTATAAAATTTTAAAATTATATAATATTATAATTATTTTTAAATTTATTAGAGATTATTATATTTAATTTATTTGTTTAAAATTATATTTTTTAATTGTTATTCTTAAAATAAATGAATATGATTAAAATATTTTAAAATCATTTATATTATAAACTTATGTGTAAATTTAATTGAAGTTCATGTGTTATGGATATACTGTATCGATTCATTTCATCTTACAATCATACCGAATTAGTGATACGTACAAATATAACGTGTCTAAACTTAACAAGAAGCCGTTAAATGTCATGAACTAACAGTCACAGTAACATATCTATTTTGAGCAACGAAATTATATTATCTATTTGAATTTTACGATCAATTATTTAACAAAAACAATAATTTCATGTACAATAATAAGAAATATTAATTATCCAAAACAAAATAATAATCTTAAAGAAAATTGTTTCTATCTGCTTTGAAACAAAGATAATTTTTAAAATACCATTTTAATTAAATTTTTATTTTTCTTAAATAAAAGTAAATAAAAATATTTTGAAAAATTTTGAAAAAAATTTTTTTAAATCTCTTTATTTAAAAAGTAAAAAGTCTGTAGCATACATTGTTACCAAAACAAGAATGTTAACCTGTTATGTTTAAATATATTAATAATAATTGTATAATAATTGTAAACAAAATAAGCGTCAGCTGATCAGCTGATCGTGTTACCATAACCGCAATGGCTGCTATTGATCTCGTGAGCAAGCTCTTTCGCACGCGCGTGCTGCGTTAAAACCCCTTCTACCTATTTCTACGCACGCGATTAAATCTTATCTAATGTCTTATTCTCGGTATTTGTTAATGAATAAAATAATTTATATGGTACTCACCAAAAGTCGATCTGCAAAGCTGGAGCGAATGCTAAAAAACTGCGACGCACTCCATAGTACGCGCGGGAAACAATAACTTACAACTAATTGACAAAAAAATATAATAGCACACGAAAGATGTAAATAGAACTTAAGAAAAAATGTTGATATAAAGATAGGTGAAACAAATGACACAATAATCGACACAAGAAAGACAAGCTAGTTTTGATACTGGAATGTAAAATGCGAAATTTCGAGAAGCGACTAAAGAAAGGAATAACGCGATAGGGAGAACGATACGTGTTTTGACTATGTCTCAAGTCCAGGGTGAATTGTGATTAGTTGCGCATGTGTATCGACGCAACCCTTCTTTCACAACTTTCATTGGTCGCTTTAAGAGTCAGGGACGACACGATTCAGGGTGCAAAGTAGGGAATAAAGATAAAATACAATTATAATTGGTATTCTTTTTCTATTATTTCTTCATATCTAATTAATTTATTCTTAAATAATAATGAAATAGTTTATTCAGATATTATTTATTTTGTTAGAAATTTAATTATAAATAATAATAAAAAATTATATAATAATAATTATTAAAAATATTATTTAAAATATAGGAATACAATTTTTTTCTGCAATTCTAATTTCTATTTAAATATTTCTATTTAAATTAATATTCAAAATATAATATATTATTTAATACTAGCATAAATGAAATACAGAATAGATTTAACATTCAATGCATTTTTTTGTCCCATGTTTTGAAGAATCTCTTTACCATTTTAATATCATTTTCAATGTTACCGATTCGATTCAAAATAAATTTGCAACATGAATAATGGGTGGAATTCAAATCAAATTCAATATAAAATTACGAAGAATAAATTCGATAAATGAATCTTTGATCAGCATCATTTTTCAATAGAATGCTTCAAAATTCTTACTCCTTTCTTACTTTTCTCATTGTCAATTTTTCATTTGTTTAAATTCCATTGTTATCATCGAGTATAGATAATGAGCAAATAATAAGAACAAAGATAGAATCAAATTATTGAAATCAAGGCCATTTCTAGAATGCCACAAATAAAAATAAAAAAAGGATAAAAAATTATATAAAAATAAAAATAGGATAAAAATTGATCATTAACGCCATCTCTTGAATCAAAAATCTTTTCAAAGACAATAAAGCAGAATCAGAATTGAATATTATTACCATCTTTTGGTATTCTTTTATACTTTTAAAAAGATTTGTAACAAGAGATGGCGATAATGATCAATTCTCTATTTCTATTCTTCTTTTATTATTTGCTTTCCTTGTCTATATTTAAGTTTCATTTGCAGCATTCTGAAGATGGCGTTGATTCCCGAATTTTTACTCTATCTCTATCTCTATCCTTCTGCTATTATTTGCTTATCTTTATTGTCCTTGTATATCTGTTACTGACAAGATACAGGAGGAACGCTCTTCATCATTTAGTTTCTTCGAAACTACATGTATTAATCTTTAACGTAAAAAATATAAATAATATAAATAAAATAATAAAATATTTTCAGTTTTACAATGTATCTATACGAGGACATAGTTTTTTATGACTTTAAATTTTTATTAATTTCAAATATTAATTGATTATAATGAGAAATACATTATCTTTAATAAATTAATAAAATATATATAATTTATAGAAATTAATAATATAATTAATATTTTTTTAATTTATAAATAAACTTATTAACTTATTGAAAAGTATTTATACTAGCGGCATCTATCATATTACTATTGTATTATGATAAATAAATGTGTTAAATCTATCGACATGATATAAAAACAATGTGAAGAATATTGATATTATTTAATTAAAACTGTGTATTTAAAATGTCAGACGAATCAGAATATGATGTAGAACCAGAAGAATTTGATATTTATAAACGAAAATATCAATTACTATTAGATAGATGTGAAGTTTTACAACAGGTTTTGATTTTAATTTTCTGCATTTCATATATAATAATTTAATAATGGAAAATGAAATTATTCATTCTTTAATTATAGGAAAATGAAAGATTGGTTTATCGTATCCAGCGAGTTAGAAAATTACTCAAACGTACAAGAAAGGAAAAAAAGTTAGTTCAATTTCTAGGTTATGTATTGAATACTATTACAATTTTATCTATTATTTATTTATATTTGAAATAATATATTTATTTTATATTTTATTATATACCATTAGAGTTGTTTTCATAAAATATTTTTTTTATATTTTAGATTTTTAATTGATCGCTTGGATCAACATGGTGATCGTTGGAGAGAAGCACCTATGGGAGTTCTTGAAGAAAATAATGTATTTCAAGTAACACCTAAGCCAGAAAAAGGTCCAAAAGCTACTACATATAATTCTAAAGAAGAAAAGACTAAAAAAGGAACAAAACGAAAAGGCACTAAGACAGATCCTAATGCTCCAAAAAGACCAGCAAATCCATTCTTTCAATTCTGTCAAGAACAAAGACCTCGAGTTATGGAAAGATTAGCTGGAGAACCAGAACCAAGCAAACAAGAACTTACTAGACAACTTGCAACTACTTGGAAATCTCTCAGTTCAGAAGATAAAAAGGTTTGTATAAACAAATAAAATACAACAAACAAAACAAAATATGAACATTTTTGTTTGAAAAGATAAAATAATATATATTTTCCTAGGTATATTATGACATGTACGAACGATCCAAAGAAAAATATGTTGCTGAAATGCAAATTTATAATAAAAAATCGGAAGATATGCCAAACCATATGTCTTTAAATATAACATAGTATTTGTATTTAAAATAAATATTTGTAAATACGTAATTTATAATCATATATTTGCACATATGTCAATATTTATATATAGAAAATTGAAATAAAATTTTATAAATAAAACAAATAGAAAATTTGTACGTAGGAAGAATATTTTATATTGATTAAAAAAGTTATGTAACCACCACTAATTTTTTTGTAACAATAATAAATTTATGCTTTAAAATTATCTTTTTCCCTTCTAAGAAATGCCATAGTTTGAATTGGATCTTTTTGTTCAGTATGATCCATAACAGATTGTTCGTGAACTCGCATAAATGGATTTGTCAATTTTTCTTCCTGAATAGTGCTGGGCACAGAAGGATTATTCTTTTCACGTTGTATACGAACCCATTCTATTTTTTGACGAATTGCTTCATTTTCTGGCTCTACATGTTTTGCAAATTTTAAGTTATTTGCTGTATATTCATGACCACAATATACTTTCTATAAAATATCCAAAATATATATATTGTTTTTTTTAAGAATTATTTTATATCACAAAAATCTAAATATGATCATATGCTTACAGTTTCATTAGGCAATGATCCCAAAATTTCTATAAGTGCTTTATACATTTGTTCTGCAGTACCTTCAAAAAATCTGCCACAGCCAGCAACAAAAAGAGTATCTCCTGAATATCAATATTTATATTTTAATCAATTTATGAAAAAAATAAATATGTATAATAATTTATAAAAATAAATATAAATAATAATTTATATTTTTACCTGTAAAAACTGCTGGAGTATCTTGATTTTCTGTAATATAAAAACAGATATGTCCAGTTGTATGACATGGTGTTGAGAGGCATTGAACTTGTAATTTTCCAATGTTGAAAATATCATTATGTTTTACTTTACATGTAAGTGCCTCTATTCTATCATCTCCACCATATACTTGAAGATTATTAAATTTTTTACATAACTTTATATTTCCTCCAGCATGATCCCAATGATGATGAGTAGTTAGAACTTTTGTTAAAGATACATTATTTTGTTGGACTGCACAAGCAACAGTATCAGGATCAACAGGATCAACGATTGCAGCTTCTTGTGATGTTTCGTCAATAATCTTTAAAAATTACAAAATATGATATCAAATAAATATGTAATAAAAAAATGACAGATATTATATTATAAAATATGTAATAATAATAATTCTAAATAATTATAAAAAAAATTTAATAATTTAATATATTAATATATATAATAAAAGTAATAATTAATATAAAATAAGATAAAAATAAAAAAATACGCACTAAATACATATAATTATCTTGAAGTGCAGGTAATATTTGAACCTTCATATCGTATTGTTTAAATTGTTTTATTATTGCACGATTAGAATGTGTCGAATAAAAACCATTCGTTGAAATATTTTTTGCTAAAAAAATAAAAATTTTTATTAATATTTAAAATGATGTAAATATTAAATAATAAAAATATCAAATTGATAGTTATATAATTTGTTAATATTTATTTATAATTATTTATATATAATTTATGTATTTATATATAATTAATATTAATTTAATTTATGTAATAAAACATATATATGTTAAAATATTGTCAATGTCTTTATCTATAATATCATATGATATAAAAACTTAAATCAAATTAACATTATAAAATCCATATTAATAATAAATTTAATAATATAATAAAAATGGAACAATACTTATTTAAGTGTATTCTAAAATTTATAAATATATTAAAAAGAAATATCTATATTTGTAAATATATATCAAAAAAATTTTATTCATATATAAATGTAAAAAATCATTAGTTATCAATAATTATTTTTATTATATTCTTATAAATTTTTTTATCGCAATATTATAATTTTTATATCTTATTTTATATGAATAATTTTATATTTAAAAAAACTTGATTTTATATTTTATGTTTAAAAAAAAATTAAATATTTTCTAATATTCTTTAAATAATTTTAATAAGAATCGTAAAAATTTTAAAGTCTAAAAACAATAAAATAAAAATATAAATTTGTAAGAAAATATAAAGAAAGCAGGATACCCTTATAATATAAAGATGTTAACCAAATAGGAGAAGCACGAGACATTATGTTTAACATAACTTTTAATAAATTTAATATTGATATTATATTAAATTTTATTCGAGAAAATATTATCAAACACTATTATATATACAATGTTACTTGCCTAATTACTATGTAGTACTACTATAAAACAACTGGACTCAGCTGATCGGTACGATGTAATACTGATGGAAAATGTTAGGTTAAATACGTTCATATGCTGTATGAATCATTGTTAACACACGAATGCATATGTTTTTAACTATAGTATTATTTAATTAATGAATATTTTTATTTATTTAATAATAAAATATAATGCTATTTTACTCTTATTATATGTAAATATTTTTTAACTTATTTACAATGTCTGCAAATAATTCGAAAGAAATAGTAATAAATAATGAACATCAAGGTTTGTTATTTTATTTTTATAATATTAAAAATAATGTGTTTTTGAAAATAAATAAATTAGAGAGAAATTTAAGAGAGAATCGTTATTATTAATATCAATAATTCTTTATTATATTTAAATTTCATTTTTTTAAATTTATTTGTTATTATATCATTTTTTTTCTAGATGTTGAACAAGATGAAATTACCGCTATTGATTATGAATTAAAACAAATTGAAAGTGAAATGCAAAATCTTGAGGATCGTAAAAAAATCTTGATTCAACGTAAGGAAAAATTACGAGATGATGCACTTCTAAAAAAAAGTTTATGTGTATCAAAAAAGAATTGGAGTAAAGAAGACTTTACATGGTCTAAAGACTTGAAAAAAACTTTAAAAGATGTTTTTAAAATAGAAAAATTAAGAGAATTACAATTACCAACTATGAATGCAATTATGTCTAATGAAGATGTTATTTTAATTATGCCCACAGGTGGTGGCAAAAGTTTATGTTATCAATTACCTGCTGTTATTAGTAAAGGTATTACAATAGTAGTATCACCATTATTATCATTAATGGAAGATCAAATACATGGATTACAAAAACATAATGTAAAAGCTGAAATGTTAAGTGCAAAATGTAATAAAGAAAATATAAAAATTATAATGAATGCACTAATAGATAAAAAATCTGATCTTAAATTAATTTATGTTACACCAGAATATATGGCAAAATCCAATCGTTTCATGAATAAGTTGCAAAAAGCTTTTGAAATGAAACGTTTAGATCGTTTTGCAATAGATGAAGTACATTGCTGTAGTCAATGGGGACATGATTTTAGACCTGATTATAAATTTTTAGGAATATTAAAATCCATGTTTCCAGGTGTACCAATTTTAGGTTTAACAGCTACTGCTCCAGCTAAAATTATTGTAGATGTTCAGAAAATGTTAGATATTCAAGGTTGCTTGGTTTTGAGAGCTACTTTCAATAGACCAAACTTATTTTATGAAGTTCGAAGAAAACCAACAGACAAAGACACATGCTTAGCTATGATAGAAAATTTATTAAAAAATAGATTTAAAGATAAATCTGGAATAATTTATACAACTACCATCAAAGATGCAGAACAATTAACAACTGATTTAAGAGCAGTAGGTTTAAAAGTTGGATGTTATCATGCAATGTTAGAAGCAAATTATAGATCAGAAGTATATTCCAAGTGGATATCAGGAAAATATCAAGCTGTAGTGGCTACTATTGCTTTTGGATTAGGTATAGATAAGCCAGATGTTAGATATGTTATTCATCATTGCATTTCAAAATCAATGGAAAGTTTTTATCAAGAAAGTGGGCGTGCAGGTAGAGATGGAAAAAAATCCATGTGTATAGTATTATATAAACTTCAAGATATTTTTAAATTAAGCACAATGGTATTTCAAGATAAAGTTGGTTTACAAAATTTGTATAAAATGTTAGCATATTGTTTAGATCAAACATCATGTAGACGTAGTTTAATTGCAACTCATTTTGAAGAATCTTGGACTAGAAGTGATTGTGCAGAAATGTGTGATCATTGCCGGAAATTTAAAGACAATAAACAAATAAATATAGCTCCTTATTGTAGACAGTTATATCAAATTATGACAAAAGCAGTGCAAAATGAAACTAGATTGACTGTCTTAAAACTCATAGATGCTTGGTATGGTAAAGGTGCATCAATATTACGAGTATCTTCTGTGCCAATACCAAAATTTACAAGAGAATCAGGAGAAGCTATAATAGGACATTTACTTGTGAATGGTTATTTACAAGAAGACTTTCATTTCTCTGCATATTCCACAATATCATATATAAAACGTGGGCCTAAAGCAGTATTAGCACTTGATACTACTCATGAAATATTTTTTAATTATGAATTACATTAATTTATATAATCATCATATATTATGATCTGTGATATAATAATAATTCATTATTAAAGGAACACATTAAGTAAACAGAATATTATTTTAAATTTAGAATATTCCTATTCATCAATAATATATTTTTAGTAATTGTAAGTTATTTTAAATTTAATTTATTATAAATTTTTAGAGTGAATGTTTTCGATAATAATATACTTTTAGGATATTTTTAGGATATTTTATTAATAATATTTTATATAATGTGTTTATTTTAAATTGTATAATATACATAGATTTAATAATAAGATTTTAACATACTTAACCAAAAATGAATAATATTTTCACGAAATAATAAATAGTTTTTGATACAAATATATTATTTTCATTTCTAAAATGATTTTAAAATTTTTTAGAATTTTTTACAATTTTTGATAAAATTACTTGATGCATATTTTGAACATATTTTATAATCATAATCATTTGAAAAAAGTTGATGAAAATTTTTTGAACGAAATTACAAGTAAAATATTTAAAATTTTTTTTATGAAATGAAGAGCAAATAATTTAAACTTAACATCAAAGAAAAATCAATAAAAACTATATGTACAACGCTAGACAACGATATGTCGGCGGTTTAGATAGTAAGCCAACCACCAGGTTCACGATCAGATGGAAATATTGATCCTGGATAAGGCATCTGTGTTCCGTCTGTTAGCAAACACATTTTACTACAGTACTAATTACAATACTTATATTAGCTTTATTATTCATTCATCTTTAAAAATTAAACAACAATAGTGAATATCGTATAATAGTAATCTATTACAAGTGATCACAACATTTTTAGTAGTTTTCAAAATATTTCAATTTTTCATTCAAAGTTCAATTGTATGTATAATAAATAGTGACATATTAATGATATATCTTTCATTCATGAATCCATTCAAGTGAAAGTTTTAACGAATAACTTTTCTGAAAAATTTTAAACGTAATGGAGTCCTGACAATCATTGATAAAAATTTGCCGATATATTACCCTCAATACGAGGGTAATAAAAAGCAGGTAAAGACAAAAAATTTAAGTGATTGATTTTCCATAGTGATTTTCCATATGTGTACATTTTAGGTTCCATATATATATATATATATGTGTGTGTGTATGCGTGCGCGTGTGTGCATCAAAATTAATTGATGTGGTAATATGCATATATGTTTAAAGCAAATGATAGCGGGAAATGTTATAAGAACAAAAATCAGTTTATTATAGCATTTCAATGCGTCTATTCGCGCGCTTCTACGCGACAAAGTTTGATCTCTGTAATTTTAATACTCCATAAAAACACCAAATATTCTGTAGATATTCTTTAACTTGTAAAAAAAAAAGAAAATAGTGCATCTGAAATTTTTAACTTTTACATGAATATTGTGTTCTTCAATGTAAAGAGTAAAATTGTATTCGTACAGATTTATCACTTTAAACATTGTATATTATATTTCATAATCATTTCATAACAATCGTTATTTGAGTATTATTATAATTACGATGAAAATTATGTAAAGAAACTTAATCGTATAAATACAATTTCGCATTACGCTCTAATAAAGATAACTAGATGATTTGTTCTTCACCAATCTGCCTTAAACGAAGATGCCTCTGCCAAATATTCTCAAAAAGGCAAGCAGTTATATTTTAGGCGATTGTAATCAAGATAATCGTCGTACTATATATCAGGATGGCGAGGCATTATTTTGTAAGAATAATGTTTGCGTTCATCCGCCAACTTTAATGAGACAAAATTCTGATGTGGTACATCATCCCGGATACATGGCCATAACCTGTAGATTTAATAAAAACTCGAATGTACCAACTTTGCATCTCAGTTGGATTCCAAATAGTACACTTCGTAAACATCCGACAACATTAGAAAATTTAAACGTAAAAAAACTTGATTGTATTACCCATCGAGATACCGATATAAGTTCTCATCATTCTCAAATATCAGAAGAAAGTTGTGATCTAAAGTGTGAATACGAAAATATTGGTGAAAAAGTTGATGTTTGTTTAGAAGTAAAGGAACCTGTCAATTGTGGAGATTGTGAACGAGTTTGCTCTGGTGGTTTTTCACGGAATGCACGTTTCGAAAATGATGATACAAAAAACAATGATAATTTATGCGATCATCAAGTTATGCTTACATCAGAAATTAAAGAAATTCCAAATGTTAATATCAATCGGCAAACAAATTATCATCGATCTGATAATTTATCAACTACTATACATGAAGAAAATGATCATAGTATCAGTTTAAATCAATTACATTCTGAATCTCTGAATTCAAAATATGATGAAAATCAATATTGTAAAGATCAAAAATGTGTTTCCGAAACACATGAGAACGATGGAATAAGTATTGACGAAGAATTGAAATATCCTTATTATGATGATGTAAGTCTCAAAAGTCGTAGTATGTCATTAACCTCTACATGTAGTTTATCTGTTGGCGTATCTTCAGAAGGTATTAAATTGATTACTTTGATAGTTTTTTCATTAGTTTCTAGACATTACTAATGCATAATATGTAATGCATCTTCTTTAGCTGAAGAAATTCCATCATGGATGAGATCACCTGAACTTTTGGCTTTACAACATAACCTTACATTTCCTGAAAGTGCAACAGCTTCACCAGTAACATTACGTAGAGCACACAGATGTAGAAGATTTTCAGTGGATCTTAGTGAAATGAGATCTCTAAGATTATTTTTTGCTGATCCAGCTTGTACTTCTGGTCAATTGGTTGTTGCAAGTAGAGAAAGCCAATATAAAATTCTACATTTTCATCATGGTGGATTGGACCGATTAGCAGCAACATTACATCAATGGCATCAATTACTTTATCCTCGATTAGATACTGATGCTGAAGAAACACTTCCATATAGGTAATAATTAATTAATGAAAAAAAATTAATATTTTATTAAATA